ATTTTTAAATATTTTTTATTTGCCAATACGTGTGTGTAAATATATTAAATTATATTTTATTTTATTCGATTTTATTTTTTTAATTGATTCTTTGTTGTTTTTCTCTTTTTAGGATGAATTCCTTTTGCTTTATTCCTTATTCTGTGTATTATTTGAGAAAGGCCAAATAAGAATGCATCTTATCCACAGTAAAGACAGTGTTGGATGTCCTTTGTTTTTTCTTACTTTAATAAAAGGAACACAGAATATATAATAGGCTTGTATTATTTATTTTTTTTTAAAAAAATAAAACTAATACTCCATCCGTCTCATAAATATAGTCTTAATTTGATTGGGCACATTATTTAAGAAATATTGATATTATATTGGTAATGGGTAAAAAATATGGATAAAAGACTTTTTTGCCCTTGTGAGTGTATTAGTGTAAAAAGTAGTGGCAATTGTATAATAAAAATGAAAAAGTATGGGTAGTTTTATGGTAATATGATTATTTATGAAAATAAGACTATTGTTTTGGGACGGACAAAAAGAGTAAACAAGACTATTATATTAAGACGGATGAAGTATTATTTAATTTTCATGATTTTTAATAGAAATATATTATTATTATTATTATTATTTTATAAAATATCACATCAAAATATTATTTTGACAAAACTCAAATTAGACCATATTTCAAATTAATTTCAAATCACAACAAAACAATATACTTCATCCATCATGCTAAATTTATATTTTGCGTCATTGTACTTAACATTATTTATATTTGTATAAAATTTTAATATAAATGTCATTATATTAGTATTACAAAATACTAATAGAAGTATTTTTATATATTCTTTATAATTTATGCTACGTTTTGATATAATAATTAATATTTAAATATCAATAAACAAAAAAACAAATATAACTATTGCAACCGGACAAAAGTAGTATACTAATGTGTGTTTGTAGGTTTTTTCTTCAATTTTCATTATTTAGTTTTTTTAATATTGCAATAAACAATAATTTTTATATTATACTCCCTCCGTCCCAACACAATAATCTTGTTTACTATTTTTGTTCATCCCAAAATAATAGTCTCATTTCCATAAATAATCATATTATTATAAACCTACCCTTACTTTTTTTATTATGATTACACATCTGCCACTACTTTTTACACTAATATACTTACAAGGGCAAAAAAGTCTTTTACTCACTACCAATATAATATCAATATTTCTTAAATTCCATGTCAAACATAACTCAAATCATAGTTTTAGAACGAAGTGAGTATTAAAAATAATTTTATATTAAAAAACATGCTATACTAATTCATACGTAAAACACATGGAACACAATTATTTTAATTAAAAACTAATGATTTCTAACCTCAAATTCACCTTTCAAACCTTGCTACCAAACAACACCTAACAAATTTTTGGATATGTTTGGTTGTGTTTTTTTTTTTTTTTTTTGGAATTATTTATAATAATTCAAAGTGTTTTTTTTTTTTTTTTTTTTTCAAAAAAAAAATATATATATAATAATTCAAAGTACAGTTATTATATATTTTGTCCGTTCCAGCAGTATTCACTTAATTTTGGCGTAATCTAATGAATATTATATAGTAATAAGTATGGTCTAGAAATTGGTTGTTAGGTTGGTGTTGGCTCTTGGCAGCAACTGGATTTGTTTGCACAATTTTATTATTGTTTTTTAAATGATTCTTAATATATATATTATATTTTTATAAAAAATAATATTTAGTATAAATTATTATTTGTTATTACGAAACAATTCTATATACCTCAAATTAAAAAAAAAAAAATAAATTCAAATCAATACACTAAACAAACAAATTTGTTATATTTTTACTTTTTTTTCATCTCAATTATTTTAAGAAAAATAAATGGGAAATCACTTATAATATCCTATTTATTTTGTTCTTTTGAATGAACACATAAATTCATATAAACTTAAAATTCTTTATTTTTATAAATTGATTTATAATAGTATTAATTATGTACAAATATATATTTTCTCCTCTGAAATCAAAGAGATCTTTTGGTATATACAAAAATTAATTATAAATTAATTTTTTTATATTTTATGTATAAATTAATTATATATATATAAATATATATTTGTAAGTTATATAAAAGTTAAAAATATTTTACCATTAATGTTTGATTGTTTTTACTATATAAATTAAATATTCCTGAGTGAGATAACGAAAAAGACATAAAATATAATTTTAGTTGGGAATGTGGAAAATGATAAAAAAAAAATATATATTTTCAATTACGACAGAAGAGTAAAAATTTGAAATAAAAAAACCCCGTAAATTCTTATTTAAATATCTCAAATTTTGATTTATTGTGATTTAAAATTGTTTTGAAATGTAATATTGCTTTGAATTATGTTAAATAGTATTTTGACATGTATTTTGTTAAAAATAAAATATTTCATATTTTTATTAAAAATTGTGCAAACTGATGAATAATATAGATTTATATTTGAAATCATAAAGGAACAACTATTTACTTGCACTGTTCTTAATAAAAATATACTCTCCCGTCCCAAACAAATATGAAGTCTTTTGTTTGGGTACAATAATTTAAAAAGTATAGATTAATTATTTAAATAGGGAGATTAGTTACTTAATGACCATTTTTTTTAAAAAAAATATGTGTTTAAATATTTTTAGCATTATATCTCAATAACATTATATAATACGGATATATTGTAAAAAATAAAATTGGAGTATAATAAAAAAATAAGAAATTTTTAAGATAAATAAAAATATTTGTTAATTAAAAGAGATAAAAACAAAACGATTTTGAATGGATCTTACTTATAAGAAATTAAAAATTTAATAAAATTAATTTATATTTGTTAAATATATTTAAAATAGTTAAATTTAATAAAAATATAAATAAATTATATTTTTTATGACAAAAATATTACTAATTTTCTCACAAAAATATTATAATATTAAATTATTATTTAAATAAAATTCAAATAAATATCAATATTTTATTACAAATCAAAACAAACTCTTAATTTACATTAAAATAAAATAATATTTAATTACTAAAAAATAAAATCCAACCTCAACTGCGACTTTCCACTTGCAACCAAGGAATCCTCCAATAATTATTATACAAATTTATTTGATTCTATGACGGAATTGAAAGGGTTTAAAACGAGAATATTCGGTTTCCAATTAATCCAAGGTCGATAATGCCCTCAGTACACTTAATTGGAAAGGACATAGAAACTGTTGGGATATGAAGCCTGGTTATATCTAAAATCTAGGGATATGATTTGGATATTATATTTTAGATTTTAGAGATATGATTTGGATATTATTGTCAAAGCTTAGGCTATAAATATCCATGTATTTTCATTTTAACATGTGTCTGCGTACTTTATAGTAAAATTCTTGACTTGGCAGCGCCCCAAGACGTAGATCATTGTGATCGAACTGGGTTACCAAATTCTTGTGTTCTTTTGTCTTTGTTGTCTCATCTTGATTTCCTGAAAATTTCCGTAACAGAAACAAATAAATTAGACGCATAATTCATGAGTACCATAAATATAGTCTTAATTGTGTTGGACATGAAAAATTATTGATATTATATAAGTATACATAAAATATTTTTTTGCCATTGTGAATGTGTTATGTAAAAAGTAGTGTCAATTGTGTAATAAAAATGAAAAAGTAAGAGTAATTTTATGGTGATATAGTTATTTATGAAAATAAGACTATTGTTTTGAGATGAACAAAAATGGTAAATAAGACTATTGTATTGAGACGTAAAGAGTATTATATTATAACATAATAATGGTTTATTTGTTTATGTCGCATCATTTTTTTTATTTTTTATTTTTTTCACAAAATATAATATCATAAGATCATTTAAATTCAAAATCAAATGCAACATGTTTTGATTTCGATTTGAACACAAAATCACGTACTACTATTTATCTATATAATTTTCAATAAAAACAAGTAATTAATCTTATAAGATCATATAAAATAAAATACTATATAAATAAAAAATTAAATAACAATTCAAACTCAAACCAAAATACAATTTTTCTTCTGATTTTTTTTTATTTTATTAGAATGTCAATCGGTTGTGTGTGTTTTTTTATTTTTTGTTATTTAATTAATTAATTTATTTTTTATGTTTGAAATAATGCACTCTTTACTGTTTGACCTATTACGAAATGATTGTGCTGCTTCAAACCACCTGTAATAATAATATGGTAATTAAGGTAATAATGTTTACTATTTGAACATATTTTTTCCACTGACTCATATTAATGCTTAATTGCAATAAAAGAAAAAAATATATATATTTTTATCTCAAGATAATTGGTTTATTTCATTAGTGATATACAATAATTAAGATAATGATGTTTAATTAGTCAATAATAATGAATTATAATATATTTTATTGTTTTTTTATGTAATTAATAATATTAATAATTTTAAACTATATTTAATATATATAATTCAAAATTAGAATGTATATTTAAATATTTTAAAAAAATATTTCAATAAAAAATATATGCAATATAAATATCATTTTGTAAAAAAATAAGATTTTTATATAATACAAGTAAATAAAAAATATATTTATCTATTTATAATTAACATAAGTTAATTTCATAAAAAAATATAAAATTTTAAATATAAATAATTTTTTTTTTTCAAAGAATAGAGATAAAAATAAAAATTTTTTGACATTATATGTTATAAGTTAAATTAAATTAAATTTATATTTATTCAATATATTTAGTAAATTTTAACTAAAATAAAAATATATCAATAAAATATGTTAATTATTGTGGGACTGTGCGAGTATATATACCATTTTCGATTATTTTAAAAATGAGTACGCACGATTATTCCCTTGCACTTGCTCGCAGGGTAGCATTTCCTTCTAGAATATTTTTACAGAGGCTTGATACTATAAATGTGCTGCGGCTCGCCATTGTCGGCCTTCCTCAATTCCATTCTTCTCTGCTGAATCCCTGTTAACGTACTCTCGACGTTTTTCCGTTTTCTTTATTTTTTTACTTCTCGTTTTCCGGTGTATTCCGGCGAGAGTAGCTAGGGTTTCAGGCGGCAATGGCGGTGCTACCAGATCTAGGGACGGAGATCGTGATTCCGGTTTGCGCAATAATCGGCATCGTATTCTCGCTCGTGCAGTGGGTCCTTGTCTCGAAGGTGAAGCTCTCGGCGGATCGAACTGGCTCGTCGGCTGAAAACAATGGGAAGAATGGGTACAGTGAGTACTTGATTGAGGAGGAGGATGGAGTTAACGACCAAAACGTCGTCGTTAAGTGCGCCGAGATCCAAAACGCTATCTCCGAGGGTTAGAATAGTTTCAGATCTCAGTATAATTTTTCCAGATCTATATATTTTTTAATTGATTTTTGTTTGATGCGAGTATGCGGTGCTGTTAACGGTTTGTGATTGTTCACCTACTTGCGCAAATCTCCATCTTTGTGCCTGTTTGCTCGAGCTCTGTTTTGGCGGTGGTTATCAGTCTTCACGAACACGGAGGGAAAATTTTGAATTTGAGATGATTACTTCTGAAAAAGGAGATGTGAGCTTTTCTTATGAGGAGAGGTTTATGGAGAAAATCTTAATTCGGAAATAATATATGTATTTCTTTATCTTTTTTCACCTATAATTTCATGGGGTCTAGCTGAGGTTTGGGTGAATAAAACCCAAACATGATGATTTTGGAGTGTGTGGATGTGATTAATTTCAATATTAGATTTCTTTGTCAAGATCTCAAATTGAATTTACTGCTTATTTAATCCTCTGTGAGAAGTTATATGTCATCCTTATCTTTAGTGGTAAGAACCTTTTCATGCGGTGTTCAAAATGCCTAATGTTTGTTAAGGATCTAGGGTTTTGGATTTTTACCCACCCTTTTTCTTTTCAGGTTCTGTCTTACATGGAAGACAAGTAGCAATCTTTTGTTGATCAAATATGATTTGGTATATTAGATTTTTGGGATTATGGTTTTGTTGTTTTATATTTGAAGCCTGAAAGGCCACAGCAATGGAATTGATTATAGATAGTTGTCTAGATCTCAGAGAATATTTCCCAAATTTATATTTTGATGCTTGGAAATATCAAATAATTTGGGGAATTGATTTCTTACACTCTTTGCTTTATAGCTTTTATAGCTAGTAAGTACATATTTAGTCCATGGGATTTTTCTTTGGATGGTTGTGTTCAATTAGGTTGTTATGCAACTTTACTTTCTCTTTAATGCAACTGTGTGCTGGATTGTCTTGATTTTGTATTTAGTGTCTTATGCAGATTGCTATAATATTACATGCACAAGGCCAACATATGATTTCTCTCTCTCTCTCTCTCTCTCTCTCTCTCTCTTTAAAATTAATGTATTGTTAGCTGAATTGCATCTTATGCCCTTTAAGTAGTAGATCTTGACTTAATTAATGATGAAATGGTTTTCTGGTATCTGATCTGTGGTGCACCAGACAGTATTAGTTTGAGGAATGGTTACATCTTTACCCGGTTTGGATTTGGATAATCGGTTTAAAATTAGCCCTTTGCCCGAACTATTACTGTTGTGTTTGAAAAGCATGGTGATTGTCTGCTCTGAGTGTTCAAATAGTTTGCATTTTTACTCAACTTTAATTTGTCCCGTTTGTTACAGTTGGTTTACTTTATCTAAGATGAAGCATTATATTTTGATTGCAGGTGCAACATCTTTTCTGTTTACTGAGTATCAGTATGTGGGTATTTTCATGGTTGCCTTTGCAATCATCATCTTCTTGTTCCTCGGATCTGTGGAAGGTTTCAGCACAAAGGAACAACCTTGCACTTACAACAAAGAGAAGCTATGCAAGCCTGCTCTTGCTACTGCCATTTTCAGCACCGTATCCTTTTTGCTGGGTGCTGTCACCTCCGTTGTCTCTGGTTTCCTTGGAATGAAAATTGCAACGTATGCTAATGCAAGGACGACGCTGGAAGCTAGAAAGGGTGTTGGAAAAGCTTTCATTACTGCATTTAGGTCTGGTGCTGTCATGGGGTTTCTCCTCGCTGCAAATGGCCTATTGGTCCTTTATATTGCCATCAATCTCTTCAAGCTCTATTATGGAGATGATTGGGAAGGACTTTTTGAGGCAATTACGGGATATGGTCTTGGTGGATCATCTATGGCTTTGTTTGGCAGAGTCGGTGGCGGCATTTACACCAAGGCTGCTGATGTTGGTGCCGATCTTGTTGGTAAGGTTGAAAGGAACATTCCAGAAGATGACCCCAGGAATCCTGCTGTAAGTTTCTGCAGATAAATGTGTAATTTATTAAGGTCATTTTTGGGGGTTAATTGCCGCTTGTTCTGCAGGTGATTGCTGATAATGTTGGTGACAATGTTGGAGATATAGCGGGAATGGGATCTGATCTTTTTGGGTCATATGCTGAATCATCTTGCGCTGCTCTTGTTGTGGCCTCAATCTCCTCTTTTGGAATCACTCATGATTTCACAGCGATGTCGTTTCCTTTGCTTATTAGTTCCATGGGAATCCTGGTTTGCTTAATTACCACACTTTTTGCCACCGACTTTTTTGAGATCAAGGCTGTCAAGGAAATTGAACCGGCTTTGAAGAACCAGCTCATTATCTCCACTGTTCTTATGACTATTGGAATTGCGATTGTCACCTGGACTTGCTTGCCGTCATCCTTTACAATCTTCAATTTTGGAACTCAAAAAGTCGTCAAGAACTGGTAAGAAATAAGAATCTTTTCATAACTAATGAATTTTCTGCGTTGCTTCTATTGTTTTAAGAGCGCTGACATTCACTTTTAATAATCTTCTTGAATCGATTCGTAATTCCGTGTATCACACATTGTGGGTGCTTTAGAGTTTTATGTTTCTGATATCATGATGGAGGTCGACATTTGTTCGATTGTCAGAATTACTAACCTATTGTTACATTACAGGCAACTCTTCCTCTGTGTCTGTGTCGGGCTTTGGGCTGGACTCATCATCGGCTTTGTGACCGAATATTACACCAGCAATGCCTACAGGTGCATACCCGAAAACTTGTTCTGTATTCTTCGAATCACAGCTTGAACTGCTTTTCTGGTCTTTTGAGATAAATTTTTTCATTGCGTTTCCTGTTTGTCGAATTCTTGTGCAGCCCTGTGCAGGATGTTGCTGATTCTTGCCGAACCGGTGCTGCAACCAATGTCATATTCGGCCTGGCCTTGGGATACAAATCCGTCATTATTCCAATTTTTGCCATTGCGATTAGCATTTTTGTCAGTTTCACCTTTGCTGCCATGTACGGTATTGCCGTAGCTGCTCTCGGGATGCTGAGCACCATCGCCACCGGTTTGGCTATCGATGCGTACGGACCTATCAGCGATAATGCCGGAGGTATAGCCGAGATGGCTGGGATGAGCCACAGAATCCGCGAGCGAACCGACGCCCTTGACGCTGCCGGGAACACCACTGCTGCAATTGGAAAAGTGCCATACATTCTCTCGATTAATTACAAAAGCATATATATAATAATCGATTGAATTTCCTAAACTCCTAAACTTTTCCAGGGTTTTGCCATCGGATCGGCAGCGCTCGTTTCCCTGGCGCTTTTTGGCGCCTTTGTCAGCCGCGCCGCAATTTCGACCGTAGATGTGTTGACGCCTAAAGTCTTCATTGGTCTGATCGTCGGCGCAATGCTTCCCTACTGGTTCTCCGCCATGACAATGAAGAGCGTTGGCAGCGCAGCGTTGAAGATGGTCGAAGAAGTCCGCAGGCAGTTCAACACAATCCCCGGGCTCATGGAGGGCCACGCCCGGCCCGATTACGCCACCTGTGTAAAGATCTCCACTGATGCTTCCATCAAGGAGATGATCCCCCCCGGCGCCCTCGTCATGCTTACCCCTTTGATCGTGGGAACACTTTTCGGCGTCGAAACCCTCTCCGGAGTTCTCGCCGGCTCCCTCGTTTCCGGCGTCCAGGTACGTTCCAATTCAGAAATAATAAAAAATTAATCTTGGATTATTTGTTAACTATCGACTTGTACAGATTGCTATTTCTGCGTCGAACACGGGTGGCGCGTGGGACAACGCCAAGAAATATATCGAGGTAATTTTTGCTCATTCATCGTTAGAACATTCGATAAATTTTCATACACATTTTTTCAAAAATTTGAACTTTTTTCGTCGCCCAGGCCGGTGCTTCGGAGCATGCAAGAACGCTCGGCCCGAAAGGGTCGGACCCGCACAAGGCTGCCGTCATCGGCGACACGATTGGCGACCCACTGAAGGACACGTCGGGGCCTTCGCTCAACATTCTTATCAAGCTGATGGCAGTCGAATCGCTCGTGTTTGCTCCCTTCTTCGCCACCCATGGCGGTTTGCTGTTTAAGATCTTTTGAGGTTCGATCGCAATGGTTAGCAATCAATTGACGGGTCTTGACTTTGGTCTCTCACTTGTTTTGTTTTGTTTTGATTCTGCAGATGTAGTTTTCGATTCGCCTAAATAGCGCCGTCGTCGTCGTCGGCTTGTCGCTCTATTTCGAACAATGAGTCTCTCCTTCAGGTATGGGACTAAGCTTAAGCTAAGATTCATGGCCTAGGGAGATCAATTTTTATTTTATTTTTAATTTTGTTTCTTTGATGAGTTTGACGATGGCGACGATGATGACGACAATGATAATTGTGTCCGTCTGGGTCTGTGTTCGATCGAATGTATTTTTATTTTCAAGGTGTTTTATAGTTTTGTCCGATTTTCTTTAGCTTCTGACTTGAGTCGAAACGAATAGGTTTTGCGTGAAGTTCTGATTACGAGTGGCCAATCCTTACTTTTATGCGGTTACATTGATCGATTTTATTGCAGTTTTATTTTAAATTATAAAATATTACATACAAAATATGTTCGAACTAAATAGTTTTATTGTTACTTTATTTGAAGAAATTATCAGTGGTATGTAATTTGAATTTATAAAAATATGTTTTTGGGATTAATATGTAAAATTGTAAAAATAAAAATGGAATGAAATTTATGTAGTTTAAAATAAATTTGTTTCATCTCCAAGTTTATAAAATTATTTTTCTATATTAGAAAAAATAATAATATTAAAATATTTTTAATTTTTATTTAAATTATAAATATATTATTACAAATATAATTATTTAAAAGCAAAATTTTATAATTTTTTACACACTTTCAAAAAGGCAAAATTATTAATATTTTTTTCATAATTTCACTAATTAATAAAATATTTTTTTTTTTGTCCGATGACCATATGATTAAGGACTTAGCTAGTAGTATTAAATAATACTTTCTCCAATCCAATTAATTTGTCACTTTAACTGAAACATCGAATTTTAGGTCTTAGAATAATTAATAAATATTAATAAAAATAATTATAAATTAAAATTAAAAAGATTAAATAGTTTATTTAAAATAAAGAAAATTATAAATTATAAATTTTAAAATATAATTAGAATGTATAACTATACTTTTTGAAAAATGACAAATTATGTGAGATACACAAAAATTAAAAAATTAGACATTACGAGATGAGACATAGAAAGTAATAAGATATAATTAATGTATAAAGAATATCTTATTTATCATTAGTATTTAACTTACTATTAACTTTATAATTTAATTAAAAGTATTTTAGGCAAATTAGTAGTTATACAACAATATATTATAGTAGTAAACATGGATTTATTTAGGGATCAAACCTCAACGAAATCCACTTACCCACATGGTTCACTTAGTGTGACTTGTTTTGTCGGATCTAATTTGCAGGATATTAGATTCGATTGAGGGTTTATCAATGCGCAACTTTCAGTAATGGACGGTCGTATAATTATACTACTCTCAAATGGTACCATATACTTCCGTCAATGTCTTATAATAATAATAAAATAATATTTTTACGAAAATTTATACAAATATAATAATATTTTTAATATTATAAAAAAAATAATACATATATCATAATTGTATCCTATAAAATAGAAGCACCCAAACTATATATGTATACATAATTCCATTAGAGAGGGAGCATGAGAAGATAGGAGATGGGGCCGACGATCCCTCGCCATATTACAGTTATTAAAATATCTTTTCCGTGAAGTCTTCGTCCGCATTTTGTATGTATCTTTCCATCCAAAGACAAAAGACAAAGACAGCCTCTCTCTCTCTCTCTCTCTCTCTCTCTCTCTCTCAGCGATGAACACAGAACGAGGCTTCCGTATCGTCTCCACTCTCCACTGTGCCATGCCATCGATGGTGACGAACCGCCGCCAAACTCAATCCATCGTCATCTCCAACTCCTCTCTGTATTTATCTGCGCAATTATTTGCTCATTATTCCATCTTATCCTCATCTCCATCGACTCTGCGGATTTCCACCTCAATTTTGCTATCATCGCCGAAATTGTAGGTCCAACGCACTTTTTTCCATCTTTCGTTTTCAATTCTTCGCTTTTTTAAAACTCTTTATAAATTATAATTTATAATCGTCCGCACGGCGTCCGATTTTGAGTAGTTCGTTGCGGAGATCATTCAGCAGGAATGGGGAGCGCCTCGTCGATGTTGACTCAGTACGACATTGAAGAAGTTCAGGAGCACTGCAATCATCTCTGTAAGTTGATTTTATGCGTATATCTGTTGGCGAAAACTGTCAAAACTCTCTGCGATTTTGAGATCTGAGGTTTCTGTTGTAGTTTTTGTTGATTGAATTTTCAATTGGAATTTTTGGCGGTTGCAGTTACTCAGCAAGAGATTGTGAGTTTGTACGGTAGATTTTGCCAATTGGACCGGAACGCGAAAGGATTCATATCAGCTGATGAGTTCTTATCAGTGCCAGAGTTTGCTATGAATCCTCTTTCACATGTAGGAATTTAATTTTTTTGTGTTCTTCTTGTGTTGATGCTTTAAGCCTCTTTTTCTCCGGACAATCCGATCAAAAAGGAAAAATTAAAACTACACTCAAATTTAAATCTAACGATTTGTTTGTTTGTTTGTTTGAATTTGTGAAGAGGTTGCTTAAGATGGTAGATGGATTGAATTTCAAGGACTTTGTTGCCTTCTTATCTGCCTTCAGTTCCAAAGCTACTGTTCCTCAGAAAGTCGAGAGTAAGTCCTTACTATCATCGATCATTTTCTAGTTGTGTTCTTTTAGTGTTTAGAAATTTATTAAGTTTTTGTTATTAGTTGTCGGAAGTTGTGAAAGTATTAAAGTTACTCTTTTGTGAAAACGAACAAAATCTGCTGTTTTTCGACATCATTTGTAAATCTACTTTCAGATTAAAATAATTGTTGACAACGAATTTATGCGCGCAATCGTCCTACCTCGCATTTTAATTCATCGATCTTGTTTTGTTCATCATATTTGAGTTTCAAGCAGCGAATACTTTGAAGGTTTACTAACGGTGACTTTTAAATATTCAACTCTTTACTACTCATATACAATGATTTTTTGTTGAATGTATTATTGAGCCGTAGCTTATTATGTTTCTTTCTTCTATGTAAGGTATCTTTACTTTCAAGAAGCATGTACAATATTTCGTTAAATAGTTTAGCTTCCATTTAGACACAAGTTTTTGAAGTTTTGAAAATGGTAAAAATAATAATTAATTGATGTGATATTCTCTAACGAAAATAGGTTTTCAATTTATAGTGACAAAATTTCTAATAGTACGTATGCAAACATAGCCTTACCTCTTGTCTCGGCTTGTTCAGTTATCTTCAAAGTGTATGACTCGGACAGCAACGGGAAGGTGGCTTTCAACGATCTAATAGACGTGCTTCGCGACATGACCGGCTCGTTTATGACAGACAAGCAACGCGAGGTAGCATTTATATAGTGTCGGTAATAGCGTAAATACACACACTAGATCACTTACTCGGCCCGGAAAATCTTTTTTTTTTTTTAATAAGCTCGTTTTAATTTCAATTTCAATTCTGATTTCGATATGATTCTTGTTGGTTGCAGGAAGTTCTGAGCCAACTGCTGCATGAAACTGGTTATACAAAAGAATCTTGTCTTCTGCTTGATGACTTCATTAAGGTTCCATAACCTTTACAGCTAATGTTAATGTCGAGTTTTTAACCATTTCTTTCTTATATAAGAGTATTGGAAATTTTAGATAGTCGGGGAGTGGTAAAAAATTAAATATTTGATCTTAAATTCTGCTCAAATATAAAATTTTGAAATTTTAGTAATAATAAAAAAAATTAAATATTTAATGTAATGATTTGCAAAAGAAAAAAAATATGCTTTTGTTTTTTTTTTTTTTAAAATTATTGAATAATGTTTAAAATTTTGAAATGCCTATGTAAGTAGCACTAAATATTTGATGTAATATTTTTATCTTTAATGTTTTAAAATTATTTTTGGTAAATAGTAACAAAACTTAATTAAAAAGAAGTGGATGTAAACAAAAGTCTTGGGTTTGTGTAATAATAGTTTAATGCTATGCATTGTGAGAAACAAAAAAAAAAAATTTTTATTGAAAATTATATGCAAAAGTAATTCTTGATTAAAAAAAAAAAAAACACAATATAGCCATTCTTTCTTTGTAGTTTATACTAACAAATTTCTGAATGGTTTTGGTCAGATATTGAGTCATCAAGGAATGAAAATGGAGGTGGAAATCCCGGTAGAGTAGTGAAATACATATATTAGATATATATATATATATTTTCAAAAATAAAGAAAGAAAAAAAAGAGCCTACAGAGACACACTCGTTGTATACGTGCATTGATGTTTGTGTATTTTCACTGTAAATACGGTGATGAAGATGATAGAAGAAGCATGCATTTTTGTAATAATGTTAAGATGGTCTGTAGCAGATATTGTGACCATGGAAATCATCAACTTTAACATACATAGAATTTTTGAACCATTATAAAACAAAATAATCTAAAACTACACATACACAATTACAGTATTCTCTATCTTATCTAACATAACATCAATTTTTTCTTCTACAACTTCAATAGAATAAAATATCATACTTGTATTTAACTACATTACAAAACAAATAGCTCCAAGATTATCTTTTATTTAAAGCTGCTTTTTTTTTTTTTGCCCAGACTTAGATGCACAATCTTGCAGCAAATATATATATATATATATGTCACAATCTGTATCTATGTTAGTATCACACAGCACCCTATCAAAAGAGTGTAAAAAAACCAATATTGTTCTATAGCAAATTCTTCACAGATTATACGTAAAATATTGGCTAAGTGCGGTACCAATTTAAAGGTAAGTAACTGCAGGAACTAAACAAGATAACTTACAGCGCCGGAAAGTAGACATTGTTAGAGTCGAGGGCCGTAGAAAGAAATTGACCTGTGCACAGGCACGGCTGAGATCCATCGGCTAGAGGTTGAAGGAATCTCTCATAAAAAGTGCGGAAGAACGAACAAAGCTCGTGATAGAAATACATGACCACTTTGAGACTACACAACATTACCTGCAGCAACGAAAACGAGGAGGAGAAATAATAAACTAAACATACATGGAGTTCGGGTTAGTCTATGATTTGGGAATGTTATAGAGAAACAGAATATAACCGAAATGAACAAAAATGCGTCGAATAAAACTAGCCCCGATTACATTGAAATAATCTGTATGCTCTATTGGAGGTTCTGAGCCAAGAATCGAACCCTGAAAGATCTCAACCATAATATGGAATAAAAAATCGTATAGGTTCATCATCGAATACTTCATTTCTGCTCAGCATTGTTACCGTCATGATTGAAATGGAAAACCCATTCTATAACATAACACAGAATATTTCCTACAATTTCTGCTCATCAATCTATAGATATAATGATACTATCCTGCTCATCAATGTTACTGTCAAGCATATAGATTCATCATCGAATATTTCCTAAATTTCTAGAAGGGAAAGACATTCGAACATTTCATAATACAGCACAGTTGTAGGCGAGCATCAAACCATAATTTATCATGAAACCAATTTTCTACTTCAGAAAGATCTAAAGCGTAATATGGAATAGAAAAACGTACAGGAGAGAAGGCGAGCGCGACTGTTCACATCTCGCCACGATAGCCCCCGGATCCAAAATAGTCCCTCCTAGAACTGGCAATTTGCATGCTCTTCTGATGCTCCAATTTGGGGCAATCGCGGATACGATGGCCGAGCCCGCCACAGTAAGCGCAGCCCTTCACTCCACTTGCATTAGCAATCACCTCTGCATCTTCCATTGGATCACTCAGCTCGGCTAAAACCGGAGGTATTCTCTGCTTCGCCTCTTGCAAAAGATGCTTTAGGTCAAGCAGAGTGGTTTCACTCTGGTTCTTGTTGATAAACGTCGTCGCGATTCCAGTTTTCCCACACCTTCCCGTCCTTCCAATCCTATGCACGTAATTTTCTATTTCTGCCGGCATGTCGTAATTGATAACATGTTGGATGTCCGGAAAATCTAAACCTTTGGAGGCGACGTCCGTTGCTACTAGAACATCCTTCTTCCCAGCTTTGAATGACGCAATAGCGTATTCTCTCTCTTCCTGATCTTTCCCTCCGTGTATGGCGACAGCTTCGACTCCCTTTAACAAAAGATACTCGTGGATGTCATCCACGTCGGCTTTGTTCTCGCAAAATATCAGAACTGGCGGTGGGGTCTTCTGCAAACACTCGAGAAGGTAGACAATCTTTGCCTCCTGTTTTACGTACTCGACTTCTTGAATAACGTCAAGATTTGCCGCACCAGCTCTTCCAACATTTACAGTGACGGGCTTCACCAATGCGCTTCGGGCAAAATTTTGGATCTTTGTGGGCATGGTAGCGGAAAATAGAAGGGTCTGACGTTGCGCTTTGAAGTGATCGAACACTTCTCTAATGTCGTCTTCAAATCCCAGGTCGACCAATCGATCAGCCTCGTCCAATGTTAGATACCTGCAGAAGATACAACTTTGTTAATGCCTGCAGTAATTCGCCGGTTAACATCAGCACTAAAACATCAATTAATTTTCCTGGCAAGAGATGTTTACACGTACAAGTTCAGTACATAGACGAAATATGCAAGGCCTTCAATACATAGCTTCAAATTTCATTATATTAAAACTGCTAATTGTCTTCTCGGAAGAAAAACAGAACGTAAATAAAAAGATGTATACTTTGAAAGACTAAAATTTACACACTAACAATCTTATGAATAAACATGATTTGAACAAGTACCAATAAAAGAATCTATAGCTTTAAGCAAATGAATAACTAAAAAGTAACAATACCACAAATCTTTCATTTTAGTGCTTTTATCCAAGTCCCGGATACATCAAAGCATTTATCGAACTCTTTCTCAATTAAGCAATTATTGTAAAGCAAATTTGTAGAGAATTTTAAATGATTACCGGCAGTTGTCAAGATTCATTTTCTTCTTTGCTAACATGTCCTTGAGCCTTCCGGGCGTCGCCACCACGATATGAACTCCTCTTTTAACAACATCAAGCTGCGACTTCATGTCGACTCCTCCAATACAAAGCAAAGGTCTCAACTCCGGATAACCAGCCTCTCTCATCGGTTCAAGAAATTGTTCCACAACTTCGTAGGTTTGTCTAGCAAGCTCCCGAGAGGGGCAAACAATCAATCCAAACGGCCCTTCCCCAGGAACAATCGGCATCATTATCTCCTCTTGCAAAGCAATCATAATAAGCGGCAGAACGAAGACCAAGGTCTTTCCAGATCCTGTAAAAGCTATACCGATCATATCTCTCCCAGCCAGAATAACAGGCAAGCCCTGCACTTGGATTGGCGTCGGCTGCACAATACCCTTCGCTTTTAATTTCCTCAATATTGGTTCTGGAAATCGCATTTCCTTAAAATTCTTGATTGGCGGCGGAATATCTTCTCCATCCACCAGAATGTGCCACTGCTTCCTGATGGCATCGCAGGCCTTCGTAGACATCCTTCGGATCGGCAATGGCGGTTTCCAACCGGTTAACAAAGGCTCCTTATATGTGATTCCCTTCGCAAGCTCCCGAACAGACATCAAGGTTTTCCTATCCGATAGATGTTCTATCATTTCCTTTTCCTGCATTATTATCTGCTCGGTTTGGGTAATTTCAGGCTGATCTTTCTTGAGCTGCGAAGCTTTAACCAATAAACTCGGCTTCGCCTCAATAAGTTTCTGTTTTTCGATATCCTCATCGAGCCCCGAAGACTTCCCCATGCCCTGTAGACGCTTCTGTGCCTCAAGAGCTCGGCGCTTGGCCACTGGAACATACTCAACATAATCATCGTCTTCCTCCAACAAGTCCTGAAAATGGAACCCTAAAACAGCTTAACAACTCGAATGCATAAATTTGAACTATAACAAGAAAACAATACACACATAACCAATGAAAATTCGAAAATTTCACTTGACTGAGAACATCACACGAAACTCCACAAAAATGACAATTGATTGACAGATATAAGATAAAACACACACACACACACACACAAAACCCTAGCCTTAGGTTCACTCGAGAAAAACCAGACCTTAACAAAACCAAAAATCTAATTAGGAATAACAAATTGGTTGCAATACTCGATAATTTCAGAATTCTTCAAACTAGGGCGCATTCATACAAGCAAATGACGGAGAAATTAACGATAAACCTTGCTTAGAAAAACTCCAGTTGATAAATCAAATAAATCAAAAAATCAACACGAGAGCAAGAGAGAAAGCAGTTACCATGTTCAAACGGTCTTCCACGGCAGGGGCACAATCGCCGCAGGCGGATCTCCAGAAGGGACGCAGACGGAGTGAGGCAGGGAAGGAAGAAACGCCCTACCTTGTGCGTGTTGTTTTTGTCTTTCGCCGGTTTTCGAACCGGCAAACCGAACAAACCGAACCAAATTCGGTTTCGGCTATTGGATTTTTCAAACCGTGAACCGCCGGTTCAAACGGCGGTTTCGGCCATTATTTTATTGTTTTTATTTTTTGAAGAAGAAAAGGAGGACGAGGGAGAAAAGAATGAGGACTGGACGGGGAAGAACAGAAAGAATTGGAATGAAAAAAGAGGATTTATGTATGTATTTTATAATAATAATAATATATTTGTAATTAATTTTTTTTTTTATATATTATTAAATTTCGATGAAAGTAAAATAATATTAATATTAATAAAAATAAATTATTATTAATGATATTGAAAAATAATAGTACTACTATTTAAAAAAATAAAATTAGAGCAACATAAAGCTAGACGAGCTTGTAAAATTAAACATGGTATGTCAAGTGACTTTGTATAATTGTATGTTGAATTATACACGGTCGGGTGACAACATGACCGTCTATAATTTAATGTCAGTTGTCACGTCAACTTCGTAATGTGCATGTCAGTAATTTTCATTAAGTCTTGAACTGTGAGACCAAAATTGATTAAAATTATTTATAATGAGATCAAAATTGATTGAAATTTTTTATAATTGTTACGTACGAAATTTAGAATTAGGTTAAAAGCCCAAGGAAAAAAGAAGAATGGGCCTGGTAATAGAGTTGATTGAACTGGCTGAAGGACACCGTGATGAAATCAAGGAAAATAGGTTTATTTCTAAGGAAAGTCCTCAGGTCGGAAGGATCTCAGGTCGGTTGGTCCTCAGGTCAGAAGGATCTCAGGTCGGTTGGTCCTCAAGACGGAAAGATTTCAGGTCGGAAGGTCTTCAGGTCGGGAGGTCCTCAAGACGGAAAGTCATCAGGACGGAAGGACCTCAGGTCGGTAGGTCCTCAAGACGGAAAGACCTCAAGTCGGAAGGTTTTCAGGTCGGAAGGTCCTCAAGACGGAAAGACCTCAAGTCGGGAGGTCCTCAAGACGGAAAGTCATCAGGACGGAAGGACCTCAGGTCGGTTGGTCCTCAAGACGGAAAGACCTCAAGTCGGAAGGTTTTCAGGTCGGAAGGTCCTCAAGACGGAAAGACCTCAAGTCGGAAGGTCTTCAGGTCGGGAGGTCCTCAAGACGGAAAGTCATCAGGACGGAAGGACCTTAGGTCGGTAGGTCCTCAAGACGGAAAGACCTCAAGTCGGAAGGTTTTCAGGTCGGAAGGTCCTCAAGACGGAAAGACCTCAAGTCGGAAGGTTTTTAGGTCGGAAGGTCCTCAAGACGGAAAGACCTCAAGTCGGAAGGTTTTCAGGTCGGGAGGTCCTTAAGACGGAAAGACCTCAAGTCGGAAGGTTTTCAGGTCGGGAGGTCCTCAAGTCGGAAGGCCCTCAGGTCGGGAAGTTCTCGGGTCGGAATGCTGCGGCAGAACCAACAAGTCAGATGGTTTGCAAGTCGGGAGGATTGGCAGTCGGACCCATACTATTGTAGATTGGCAGTCGGGCCTAAAGGGCGGAAGGTCTGTGGTCGGCTTAAAGAGTGAAATATAGGGATAATTTTGGTCTGCTGGGGACACGTGTCAGCAGGAGAGGGGTTGGAAGACGGTTGGGAAGGAGACGTTGTAACCGTTCGGGTGACGGTTTTCGGTACGGTTTCCCAGAGAATATTTAAAGGTTTGAATCATCATCTGAAAAGGCATCTTCAATCAACTTCAACAAAGCAAAGTCAGATTTGGGGATCACCACTTTAAATTTCAGTCTTTTATTTTCCAGTTTATTTTCTGTACCATACAGTGTTTAGAGATTCCTAATCTCAGGCACTAATTAATCAAGTTTAAGGATATTTTCTATATCTTTGAATTTTACTTTATTTTTGTTGAAAAATTACATCAACAAATTGGCGACCACAGTGGGAGCAAGACAAAATTGCTCATTCCAATTCCGGCGATAATTTCATACGTCTTAGATCCGGCCGTATCATCGGAAGGGTCCATATGGCAGGTTCACAACCTCAATCATCGTCGGCACCGGTGGGAGAATCCGTTCCACCACCTAATGTGCCAAATGCCGGGGAAATCCCACAACCACCAACAGATTGGTGGTCTTATGTTCAACAAATGTTGCGTGAGCAACAAACGAACATGTTGCGTGAGCAACAGAGCATGATGCAGAACATGATAGATCAAGCATTGTCAAGGGTTAGTCTTCAACCCACTCAAACTCCACCAGGAGTATCACCGTCCAGACTACAGACAAATTTCGCAGGGCCATCATTCGTGGATAGTACATTTCCAAGTGCCACAAATCCCAACCGAATGGATAGGGGAAAGTCTCCTCTGACCTTTCCCAACACTGTTCCACTGGGACCAAGGGTTACCAATCCGCAGACGAACAATAGAAGGGAGGACAGGCCTGAAGGATATATACATGATCCTATTCATATTCCTGTGCAGGATCCGTTCCATGTTCCTGATCATCAGCGCTTTCATGTAGATCCTAATGAGCTTGCACATATATTAAGGGATCAATATGGATTAACTCCTCAGATGGCTAACCGCCCTGCATATCAGAAACCTTTCCCAGAAAGGGTCATTAATGAACACCCTCTCCCAAGGAATTATCGACCACCCGATTTTCATGCATTCTCAGGGGAGGACGGATCTTCCACCATAGAACATGTTGGTCGGTTCACAGCACAATTGGGAGAAGTTGGTAATAACCCTTTTTATAAGTTGCAACTGTTTGGTTTATCTCTTACTAGAACCGCGTTTTCGTGGTTTGCAAGTCTGCCCCCTGGACAAATTCAGACGTGGGAAGGACTGGAGACGGCATTTCATGCTAGATTCTTCAATCCTTTACCAACTGTTTCTTTAACAGATTTACTGGAATTGAGGCAGTATCCAGAAGAATCTGCTTCACAATTTATAGAAAGGGTGCGATTGATGAAGGGACGATGTCCTACGGTAATCAGTGAGAAAGAGATGACCAATTTAGTGGTCCGGAATATGCATACTCGCTTAAGAAAGGCGCTCACTGCCCTGGATGTTGAGGATTTGGCAAGTCTTGAATCCAAGGCAGGACGTTTAGAATCTTTGTTTAGAGAAGAAGATCAGCATAACAGGCGTAATAGAGGCCAACATATGGCGAGTATGGGAACAGAAACATGTGACTTTGATTTTAATCAGTCAGAAGAGATGGCAGCCGAAATCCTTTCTGGAAAACCTTATGTATGCCCTAAATTGAAGCCAGTTCCAGGATCTGAAGGAAAGGAGCAACCGACGTTTGATAGTTCGAAAGCTGATGAAATCTTTGATATCCTACTGACTGATGGGCAGATCCGTATTCCAAAGGGGCAAAGACTGGCCACTAAAGAAGAAATCAAAGGGAGACCATATTGTAAGTGGCATAATTCTTTCACACATAATACAAGTCAGTGTACTCATTTCAGGAAGGAAATTCAAAAGGCCATCAGGACAGGTCGGCTCAAATACATCACTCTAGGTGTAGACCAGCAACCGTTTCCGAAAGTAACAACGGCAATGGTTGACATCCAACCAAGTTCGGAAACAAGGAAAAGTTCGGCCAATGATGGACATACAGGGGAACGAACTCAGACAAACCCCGGAACTAAAAAGGGAAGTCAGCCAAACAGTGGCCGACCGGAAGAACGACTCAAAGTTGTTGAAAGACCAGTCGCTGAAAAATGGGACCGACCAGACGGTTCGTTTAATGTGGAGGTGAAAGAAAGGGTTGTAGTACGTGACCACCCGACCAGAAAAACAGGATCAGTCGGGAACAATTGGGCTCGAAATAAAAAGCCTTTGCCAGTTGATATAGATCCTCGTTTCCCAGGTATGAATCGTACACAGATTCGCAATGCCAAACGCAGGTATGCTGCAAAGTATGGGAAACGAGTTCCTTCACCAAAACAACGAACCGACGAACAAAAAGCAGCCGACCACTTGGCAGGAGGTCGGTCCATTAGAGTTTTTACAAAACAACTGACCGACGAGCAAAACGCAGCCGACTGCTTGGTAGGAGATCAGTCTATTCGGGTCTTTACAGAACAGACAACCAATGAGCAGGGAGCAGTCATGCAATCTCCAAAAAGTCGGTCCAGTCGGGTCTGTTCAGGAAAGCAACCGAACGATGGATTAGGCGCTTCTGACTATACCAAGAGAAGTTCGTCGGGACAGGGGAAAGGTAAAGGAATGGCAGATGAAATAATTAAAGGTTTTAGATGCCAACATTGTGAACGGATCAACATCAATCCATCTCTTGAAGAATTCCGTATTGAATCTTTGACGGTTCAATCTCGGGATAAGACAAAGGAAGAAGTAGTAACTACAGAGGAAAGTTCAAGATCTGTTAAATCTCGTCTGGGACCACGAATCCCTTGTCGAATGACAGAGTTTAATCAGATGAGTGATGAACCGATGTGGGCGAGTCTGGTAGATGATACTATGGACGAACCTTTATGGGCATTCTTGGCAGATGGTGAATTAGAGGAAACAGAGTGGGCAAAGACCTCAGATTCCGATCTTCAGTCGGAAACACCTTCGATTGTGTTTCCTCCTATTCCAGAGGGTGCGATCTCCCATTTGAAACCTCTGTATGTTAATGCTCACATTTGTGGGAAACCAATCACAAAGGTTTTCGTGGATAATGGAGCAGTCTTTAATGTTATGCCATTGAAGACCCTCAAGAAGTTAGGGAAAGGAATTCATGATCTGTCTCCTGTGGAATTCGAAATGACAAGTTTTACAGGGCAGCCGACTAAGCCTGAAGGCATGATGGTTGCCACGATCGAGGTCGGGCCAAAGAAGATCTCCACTGTTTTCTTTATTGTGGACGCAGATACTACATACTCTCTCTTGCTGGGAAGAGACTGGATTCATGCCTCTCAATGTGTGCCATCAACCTTGCACCAACAATTAATGTTCTGGGAAGGAAATCAGGTCTTCAAAATGGAAGCGAATGATAATCCATTCGATGTGACAGAACAAGTTGAAGAGTCAGTGTTTTATTCCAGTCAGGTGGCTCCGATGTCTCAGTTGTATATGGCCAGGGAATACCCAATCAAGGGTTATAAAGTCACTGGCCAGAACTCGATGTTCTATTAAAAGAACACCTTCATTGTATGGCTCATGAATAAAGCCACACCCATTCCCATATAATTTGTTTGTTATGGAAGATACAAGCTTAGAAGTATGTAGTTCTCTTATTAATAAGTTCTATTTAAAGCAATTATTACATAAAGCAGAAAATAGTAAAGAGATTCTGGATGTTCACCTCCAAGAAGATGAACAATTTCGTTGGCCCGACTTATTAGAAAAAACAGAACCAACAGCTTCATCACAAGACCCGTTATTGGAGTTTAATTTAGGAACCGAATTGGTTCCAAAAGTGATCAGGTTAAGTGGTTATTTGTCTAAAGAGCAACAAACAATGATGCTCGAAGTTATTAGAAACAACATTGATTGTTTAGCATGGGATTATTCAGAGATGCCTGGTTTGACAAGAAGTCTAATAGAGCATCGATTGCCTATCAAAGAAGGTTGTAAACCTTACAAACAACCTCCAAGGCGAATGAGCCCGGATCTGATGCCTCAAATCAAGGAAGAAATCCAAAAACTTCTCAAAGTGGGTTTCATTCAGCCTTGCCGTTATGCGGAGTGGCTGGCTAACATTGTGCCCGTGGTCAAGAAAAATGGTAAGATAAGGATATGCATCGACTTCAGGGATTTGAATCTAGCTACCCCTAAGGACGAATATGTGATGCCTATGGCCGACATGTTGATAGATGCAGCAGCAGGGCATAAAATCCTTAGTCTGATGGATGGTTATGCAGGTTATAACCAAATATTCTTGGCAGAAGAAGACATTCCTAAGACAGCATTCAGATGCCCAGGGGCTTTAGGTATTTATGAATGGACAGTCATGCCATTCGGGTTAAAGAATGCAGGGGCAACTTACCAAAGAGCCATGAATTCAATCTTTCATGATTTAATTGGCAGATCTATGGAAGTTTATATTGATGATGTTATTGTTAAATCTGCCAGTTTTGACGAACATTTGAGAGATCTTGAAGAGGCATTTGAAAGAATGAAGAAGTATAAGTTGAAGATGAATCCAACCAAATGTGCTTTTGGAATATCAGCCGGGAGCTTTTTAGGATTTCTAGTTCATGAGAGAGGAATTGAAATCGATGCCAATAAGGCTAAAGCCATTCTTGACAGTCGGCCACCCAAGACGGTTAAAGAAATCCAAAGTCTTTTGGGAAAGGTGAACTATTTGAGGCGTTTCATTTCTAATGCTGCTGGCAAGGTCAGACCCATTACTAAATTGTTGAAATCTGGAAAAAATGCCTTTGAATGGGGTCCCGACCAACAGACGGCTTTAGATGTTATCAAGCAGGCATTGGTTCATCCTCCAGTCTTGATGCCTCCTAAACAAGGTCGGCCACTCAAACTTTATTTGGCAAATACATATGAAGTGGTTAGCTGTTTATTGGCACAGGATGGTGATGACGGGAAGGAAAGGGCAATCTACTATCTCAGTAAAACCCTTACAGGACCAGAACTGAATTACACTATGCCAGAAAAAATGTGTTATTCATTGGTCTTCGCTTGTACTAAACTCGAGCATTATTTGCTGCCCAGAAGAATTGAGGTCATATCAAAGGTGGATCTCATCAAATTGATTTTACAGAGACCTACTATGAAGGGCAGACTCATGAAGTGGGCCATCAAATTGGCTCCTTTTGATCTTCAACATTCCCCTTTGAGGGCAGTCAAGGGACAAGCAGTAGTCGACTTCTTAGCAGAATTTTCACAAGTCGGGTACTCTCATTGTGATAGCGTCCGACCACTTGTTTGTTCCTCATATTTGAATAATCTACAGGTCGGATGTGTACCTTATATAAGTACCAGAACATGGTTGATGTTCTTTGATGGCTCTACCTCTGGAAACAAATCAGGGGCAGGGGTCTTTTTGCAAGGACCTGATGGTCAAAAGATCAATTTGCAACTACGATTGGAAGCCATGACCCATAATTCGGCAGAATATGAAGCTTTAATTTTGGGTTTGGAGGCTTTAATAGCCAGGAAGGTCCAGTCTGTAATCATAAGAGGGGATTCTCAACTAGTAATCAACCAGGTAAACAATCAATATGTCTGCAATTATCCTCATCTTCGCAGATACAGGGATATTGTGGGTCGGTTACTGACAAGAATTTCAGAAGTAATAATTGAGTTCGTTCCGAGGAAAGAAAACCAACGTGCTGATGAATTGGCTCAAAGGGCCTGTAAAGGAATTCTGGAGGATTTTGGGTCGGAGGTCAAGTCGGGCATAGAAGAAAAGACAGACCCAATATGTGACCGAATGGTCGGGCAAGAGACTGTCGGACAGGAGCCCGACTGTGAAGTTACGGTCGGGCAAGAGATTGTCGGACAGGAGCCCGACTGCGTAGTTGATATCAGGCAGGAGTCCGACGGCGAAACAGTGCCCGATTGGAGAACAGAGCTTATCATGTATTTACAGAATCCAGGTGCGAGTGTTTCGGTTGCGACACGATTGAAAGCTTTACGTTTTCAATTGATAAATGGAATTTTGTATAAGAGATCATTTGAAGGTCTGCTTTTGAAATGTTTGGGGTCTAAAGAAGCTCTAGAGGTAATGACAGAAGTACATGGTGGGATATGTGGAGCTCATCGGGCAGGTCTCAATATGCGATGGGCCATTCATCGTTTGGGTTTTTTCTGGCCTAAGATTTTCGAAGATTGCATACAATTTGCCAAAGGCTGCCAGGAATGTCAGAGACATGGAAATTTAAACCATTTGCCAGTAACCGAATTGCAATTCTTGGCAAAACCATGGCCTTTTAAATCATGGGCTATGGATATTATTGGTAAGATACATCCTGCTTCATCGAAACATCATTGTTTCATATTGGTCGCGACTGACTACTTCACCAAATGGGTAGAAGCAGTTGCTTTGAAAAATGTGGATCAGAAAGAAGTGATAGACTTCGTTTTGAATCAAATTATTTACAGGTATGGTATTCCTCAGTCTATAACAACCGACCAAGGCCTGGTTTTCACAGGGGAAAAGTTCTCTAGTTTCTTAGCAGAATTTGGTGTTCGATTACACCATTCGTCACCTTATTATCCCCAAGCCAATGGACAAGCGGAAGCAGCAAATAAGATTATTATTGGGATTATAAAGAAGATGGTTGAAGGGAACCCAAGAAAGTGGCATTTGTTATTGTCTCAGGCTTTATGGGCGCATAGGAACACCAGAAATACGGCCACAGGGTTCTCACCTTACCAACTCACGTTTGGCCAAGATGCTGTTTTACCAGCCGAGATTCGAGTATCATCTGGCCGAACAGAGTTTACTGATAGTGATCTTACAAAAGAATACCAACAACTTATGCTGCAACAGTTGGAGGATTTGGATGTTAACCGACTTCATGCAATAGGTCGAAGTGTGAAATAGAGTGAAATCAGAGCAAGGACTTACGGAAAGAAGGTTCTTCACAGGACATTTCAAAAAGGAGATCTAGTTTGGAAGACCATCCTTCCTACATATAAGAAAACTGACCAATTGGGAAAGTGGTCACCGAATTGGGAAGGACCATACATTGTTCAAAAAGATATTGGGAATGGTGCTTTCATTATTGTAAATCATGAAGGTAGAAGAGTACATGATTGTATTAATGCTAAATATCTGAAGAGGTATTATCCTGCCTTTTCAGATAACAAAACTGCCTGAAACAAAATATTATTTTCAGAACCCATTTATGGGGTTCGGGTTCGAACCTATTTAAAGGTTCATTTCTGTTAGTCATCATGTATTTGTGAAAAATTTTCTGCCTCTGAATCAGACTTTTCATCCCAGTGAGTGGATATTAGTTCTGGTTCTTCTTCAATAAGATCTTCCAAATCTGGTCGGTACCTTTCCCATTGGCTTTGCATGTCGTCTAGATCTTGATGGGTACGTGCTTGCATGTCTGTTAGGGCTTGATGTTCACGGTCAACAATGGTGCGCAATCTTGAAAAGACTTTTCGTTGATTGGAAAATATATTATCCCAACCAAGATCTGGAAGTATGGTTGCTGCGTGATTTTCGATCATTTCCATGTGATGATGGAGATCAGGAATGCGGCTAAGGATGTCACGAAGAGGTTCATATCCCTCGATGATTTTTTCCATCAGGCGGATGACGCGATGAATGGTTCTTCTTCCTCGTTGGGAGAATCGGAATTTGAAGTCTAGTTGCTTGAGTATATGTAACAAGTCTTCTGCATGGCCTCCAATAGGGTGATTACCCACAAAGAAGGGTTGAAGGACACCTTCCCAGTTGCTTGATGGAACATGAGGTCGGTCATTCGCCATGTTTGTTAACGTTTCAAGTGTTTTGATTTTTAAATATGCCTTGGAATGTGTTTCTTAAAATGTGAGAAACAGTGTTCTTTTAAAGAAGGAGTTTGTCTCGATTCCTACAAAATTGGAAATTGAAAGGTGATCCTTGTTTTGAGAGAAGAAAGAAAAAATAGATTACTAAGTCATGTTGTTACAGAAGGGGAAGTATTACAACAGTGCCCCTAGGGCAGTTTTTATATGGGTCCATTTGATTTCGTCCCTGGATAGCCTTCTGGTATTGGCAGCCGTCTGATATCTTATGATGAATTGGGATCGGGCTTGGGTTTTCAGCTCTTGGTCCAATTCAGCCTCATTCTTTGTATATTTCTCAAGCAGACGCTGTTCATTGATAATTTGCTTATCCAGGGTAGACTGTTCTTTCTTTAGTTCCCTCAATTCTGCCTCCTTTCTCTGGATAGCTTCATCAACTTGAGCTTTCGTGCTAAGGAGACCACCCAGCCTTCCAGTAGTCTGCTGAAGGGATTCTCGGGTCTTAGCCAAAGAATTCTCCAGCGTTGTTTGATCGAAGTCGGGCTGGGGGGTTTCGGCTGACAGGAGTCCAATGACTAGCACTTCAGTCTTGAGCTCTGTAAGTCTTTCCATCAGCCGATGCAGAATGGGGACGGCTGGCGATTCTGTTGGAGTGTAAAAAAGAAGGCCACCAACCGTCTGAATGAGTTTGTCCAATAAGTCGGACCTTAATTATGACAGGGGATGGTTGATGGCCTCAGTGATTATAGTCTGGGCCTCCGCTGGAACTGGAACAGTCGATAGGACAGCTAAGTCCGAAGGCCCCTGTAAGTCCTACAATGTCAATAAGTATTCCAAGGGAGGTGCAACTTGGTTCAGATAAGATATGTGTTACCTCTGGGCGGACTGCTGTCAGTGAGGGGGGCAGCAATGAGGTCGTTCGAGTAGGGCAGACAGCTGGTATGATAGCAGCCGACTCGTCGGCTGCTGCGAATGGTCGCTGAGGTGCCGACCTGGGTCCCTATGAAAAGTGGTATATGAAACAGTTAGTGTTTCTGAAAGAAACATTGTAGCATGGATTGGTTTAATCTTACCAAATTCACAGAAGTCTCCGATTCGGACGAAGACATTTCTTCCATTTCTGGAGGTTGGATTGCCGCAGGTGGTTCTTCTGCCTGCCACTCGATGGCTAGAGGGAGCGCCGCTGCTGGTTGGGCGGCTGCAGGTTGGGCGGCTGCATCTAGAGCCACTGCAGCCGGGATCTCTGGGGCACCTTCGATTTCGGGATCAGCAACATCAAGGATGTCGTTTTGAGGGTCAGCTTCGGCGAGGGCAGTTGGTCCTTCCTTCGAAATGGATGAGTCTGATGCCATGTATGGTAGTTGACCCATCTGGGAAGTTGTCCCCTCACTGTCCGAAGAGACCCCTGCTGCTGATTCGATGGGTGAAGGTGTCTGTGAAAAATCATGGAAATGTTGTTGTTAGATATCTCAAAGTTGGTCATTAGAATCCTAAGTATTGCTTATGAGAGAACTTACTGGTTCTATAGGCACTGCGGGTAAAGATTGCCTCCTGGTCGGGTGCCTGACCCGACCACTCCTCGGTACGGGAGGAAGAGTTTGCCTCCTCGTCGGGTCCTCCGCCCGACTGCTCATTGGCAAAGTGAGAAGTGGAGTAGGGGTTTGGAGAGGAACTGCCTCAGTCGGGACCAAAGGTTGGTCGGCTGGGGCTGGCGTCGGTTGTGTGGTCGGTGCTGCCAAGGTCGGTTCTGGTGAATGATATGTGAAATCAAAGTTAAGATATAGTGAATTGGTTCACGGTTTTAAGAAAAATTACCTAGTCGGGGTCGGGTTCTTGCTGACGTCCTAGTAGTGCCAAGGTCCGCTTGAGCTTGCTGGTCGGCCCCAGAGGTCGGGGGTGTTTGCAGCTGGGAAGCTTTCTTTTTTCGTATTGGAACACTTGATCCGGTCCCCGGGGCGGTGGTTTGTTGTTGAGTGCTAGTATGTCTAACCGCCCCTAGAACCAATCCTTGGGGTGGAAGGAGTATGTTCAGCAACCGACCCTCATCAGGGGAAATCAGGGGCCATACAACCGACCACCATTCATTGAAAGTATCTACAGTCTCAGGGTTGGAGCGGAAAGGAATATACGAATTGGAAATTATATACGTGGTGAGCTGGGAGATATAAGAAGGGATTGAATTTGGTAGGACTCGTCGGTCGGGACTTTGAAAAATTATATGAGGACAAGCGACGGGTCCAGGGATACCTTGGCAACAGCCGAACTGGCGCGCCATGAATTGAGGTTCATAATTAAAAGTGTAAAAGGTTTTCTGCCCCTTTTTATCAAGTTTTTTGCTACTAAAAAGAGACCTGGGTTTGAGGGCAACGTCCCAGGCAAAAGGATAAGTGGGATGAGGACAAGGCTCAGGAGTCGGAAGTGGGTTTGGTGCTGGAAAGGGCCAAAAATGGTCGGGAGCATAACCCGCATACTTTTTATACATAGAAAATCGAGAGTTACTGCGGATATCTGTTAAAATTGCGGTTATTATTGGATCGGAAGATTGGAGTTTATTGCGTCCTGAGCAGAGTCGGTTGAGGGCTAATCCCAAATGTTTTTCAGCTATTGGCATAGTGGGCGGAGATCCTAAGTTGAACGCGTTAGGGAAGTAAAGACGGAACCAAAGTTCTAAAAACCAAAAAGGACCCGATGCAGCAGTGTCTAATTTTCTACTATCATTATCTGTTAGACGAAGGCTAACTCTAGTAAGTCCTTCAAACAGATTGGCTAAAAACAGGGTGCCAAGGGAAAAGAACCGACCTGACGCGATATGAATGGCCAGGTCGAGATGAGAAGGAAGAACACATTTGGAAGGGGAAACAATGATGTACCTACAAAGCCAAAAAAGGATAAAGGCAGTATGCTCCCGGTCGGTCACAGGGGTCCCTGGAGCCCCTTGTTGGTCGGTTGCGAACTTTGTCCAACCCCATTCCTTCACACCTTGTAAAGACCACCCTGGATGGTCTTCTGATGGCTCCTGCCCATCTAGGGCTCCCATCACAGGGTCTTCACCCACGACTGGGAGATGCGCGATCATTGCCACATCCATAAGAGTTGGACCAAAGGGGCCAGAGGGTAGGAGGAAAGTCCCATTTTCCGCATTCCAGAAGGCAGACATGGCCAAGAGCACCTTCTCATGCAGGTTGATAGGCATGGTGGATAGTAGTATTGCTTGGTCGATTTTTTGAGATCGCCATTGGGTCTGGAAGTGTTCTGCTACCCGTCGATACCAAGCGCGGTAAGGATCTTTTGGGTCCGTGAGATGGGTTTTGATGCTATCTCGAATGCGAACTGCTTGGTAGTTAGGATTGTTGATAGCCAGGGAATTTCGGGATTCCAAAACTTCCCTCATTCGATTTGAGTCTTCAGGAGTAGTGCAATATGGGCGGATCGTCGGAGTTAGTACTTTCGAGGCTGAAAATGGGCCCTCTGGGAGGGTTCCGTCGAAAGGAATGGCAGGAATGTATTGATTTGCCATGGTTAGAGTGTTTTGGGATTGTGATTCACAAAAGCTCGTATTGCAGGGAAGGAAGTTAATCAGGAGTGTTGCGGTAACTGGTGCAGTTGCTAAGGGAATTTTTCAAGAGGGTAGTGATGTATGAACTTCCAAACATTGATTGTTAAATGGCGTTTGAAAGTCCCTTGGCGGCGGGCAAGTTGTTACGTACGAAATTTAGAATTAGGTTAAAAGCCCAAGGAAAAAAGAAGAATGGGCCTGGTAATAGAGTTGATTGAACTGGCTGAAGGACGCCGTGAGGAAATCAAGGAAAATAGGTTTATTTCTAAGGAAAGTCCTCAGGTCGGAAGGATCTCAGGTCGGTTGGTCCTCAGGTCGGAAGGATCTCAGGTCGGTTGGTCCTCAAGACGGAAAGATTTCAGGTCGGAAGGTCTTCAGGTCGGGAGGTCCTCAAGACGGAAAGTCATCAGGACGGAAGGACCTCAGGTCGGTAGGTCCTCAAGACGGAAAGACCTCAAGTCGGAAGGTTTTCAGGTCGGAAGGTCCTCAAGACGGAAAGACCTCAAGTCGGGAGGTCCTCAAGACGGAAAGTCATCAGGACGGAAGGACCTCAGGTCGGTTGGTCCTCAAGACGGAAAGACCTCAAGTCGGAAGGTTTTCAGGTCGGAAGGTCCTCAAGACGGAAAGACCTCAAGTCGGAAGGTCTTCAGGTCGGGAGGTCCTCAAGACGGAAAGTCATCAGGACGGAAGGACCTTAGGTCGGTAGGTCCTCAAGACGGAAAGACCTCAAGTCGGAAGGTTTTCAGGTCGGAAGGTCCTCAAGACGGAAAGACCTCAAGTCGGAAGGTTTTTAGGTCGGAAGGTCCTCAAGACGGAAAGACCTCAAGTCGGAAGGTTTTCAGGTCGGGAGGTCCTTAAGACGGAAAGACCTCAAGTCGGAAGGTTTTCAGGTCGGGAGGTCCTCAAGTCGGAAGGCCCTCAGGTCGGGAAGTTCTCGGGTCGGAATGCTGCGGCAGAACCAACAAGTCAGATGGTTTGCAAGTCGGGAGGATTGGCAGTCGGACCCATACTATTGTAGATTGGCAGTCGGGCCTAAAGGGCGGAAGGTCTGTGGTCGGCTTAAAGAGTGAAATATAGGGATAATTTTGGTCTGCTGGGGACACGTGTCAGCAGGAGAGGGGTTGGAAGACGGTTGGGAAGGAGACGTTGTAACCGTTCGGGTGACGGTTTTCGGTACGGTTTCCCAGAGAATATTTAAAGGTTTGAATCATCATCTGAAAAGGCATCTTCAATCAACTTCAACAAAGCAAAGTCAGATTTGGGGATCACCACTTTAAATTTCAGTCTTTTATTTTCCAGTTTATTTTCTGTACCATACAGTGTTTAGAGATTCCTAATCTCAGGCACTAATTAATCAAGTTTAAGGATATTTTCTATATCTTTGAATTTTACTTTATTTTTGTTGAAAAATTACATCAACAATAATAAAATTAAAATAAATGAGTTTTTTTTTTTTTTGTTTATATTGAGACCATTGATAAATTTAATTACTCCTTCCGTCCCGTTGGAAGGGTGGCGTTTGCTTTTTGCACGTAGATTTGTTAATATTAGTATTATATTGAATTGTAGTAAAAAATATAAAAATATCCTATTAGTATGATGTAATAGTATGATGTAATATAAAAGTAATGGCATTTGTGTAATATATTGTAAATTGAAAGAGTATTTATTATGTTAAGTAGGTAGTACAATTACTAAATTAAAAAATAATAACCTTGTTGGGACGGACGAAAATGAAAAATTGTAATCTTTCAATGGAACAGAAGGAGTATATTGGAGCTAAAATAGAAATGAGAATATTTTTGGATGACAACCAAAAAGAAAAATAAACATAGATTTGAATGAAAGATGAAATATTATTTATACAAATATATTTAAATAAAATTAAAATTAAAATAAATTATTTTTAAATTTAGAAAAAATAGAAACTAACAAAGAAAATATTAAAAATAAATCAATATAAATTGATGGTTTAAACATAATCGATGATTTGTAACCAAAATCGTCAAAGTGTAATATAGTGTTAAAGATTCGATTTTAATTTGACACTAGGCGGTTTGAATAGTATGAACAAAAATCTAATTATGTGAAGTATTTTTCTTATGAAAAAATAAAATCCAAAACTAGAAACATTATTCAAAACATAAAATAAAAAAAAAATGAGTATATACTTTTCTTTTTTTTTTTATGTTAATTTTTTTATCAAATCGTGTGTTCATTTAGGGTGTTTGTTTGGATGTTTGGATTTTAAGCTGCGATTTAAATAGTAAAAATTTTGAATTTGAATAGTGGTATGATGTAATATAAATAAGATGTGATGTTTTAAATGTAAAACTGATTTTTTAGTATAATATAAAAAATGAAAAAATAGGTATTTGATTTGATGTTTTTGGGGAAAAAAAATTGGATGAATAGTGTAAATCCAATCCAATCCCCGAACAAACACACCCTTAATTGGATATGAATTTTTTTAAAAAACAAATAGATAAAAATAAAAAACGAAAGTAACAATAGATCGGATGACAGAGAGCACCATAACAAATGGGACCTTACTCCACTTGGCTTATCTTAAACAGATCATTATTTCTCTCCCCGAATTTCCTTCTTATTCGCGGCTCCTGTTGCTGCTTCTCTTCGTCGTCTTCACTTTTGTATACTTTCGTCCTTCTGGAAATTGTACTTTTCCAGGTTCCACTCACACAGTCCTCCCTCTCCGAAGTTCGCGCATGTTCGTTTGACCTGGCACTCTTTGTGAACTGTTGATCGTTTACGTGATAGTAGAATTGAGGTATGCGTTTTTTTTTTTTCCCTGCATTTTGATCTTCAATGCCAATTGAATTTGAATACGTGGATGATTTGTTTTTACCATTTGTTGTGGACTGTGCTTATCTGGAAATTTGATGGAATAAGTACCTTTTGTGATCGATTTAGTTGCGGCTGCTGAATGTGGTTTTGGTAGAGTAACTTCATTTTGTTTTACTTGATTGGAGGATTAGTCATGCATGGCTTTCAGTTTGTCTAAGTGGAGTATCGGTTCTTCTCGTGTTTGATTATTCATATTCTGTTTGCGTGAAGATAAACTTTTTGATTTTTCGTTGGGGAGAAAGAAGGCAGTTGTTGTTGGGAATGTGATAGAGTCCGTTTTTAGCTGAATTTCTCAATTGCTTGAATCGACTGCATTTCAATTTCTGACTATGGATTCTCACAAGGAGAGCGTGGAGTTGTTACTAGATATCTGTAAGTTTTCTCCCAGCAATTACTAACAGGAATTTGAAGTTTGCTTGAGCAACAATTTTCGCAACATTATTCTTTTTTGTGTTTGTACATCAGGTTTCTGAACTATATGTATATATACATATATATATCTTTCCTCTTATGAAATGTATCCTCCTTCTTGTTGTTGGAAAGTCCTGAAAAGATTATTTGAATTCTCTGAAATGGAAACCTGGTGACAGTACATTATCATCTAGGATTTGTACTAATATCCTTTGATTCTCTAGGATGAGCTGGCTGCAGTTACTTTCTAATCTAAGTAAATTGATTTAAAGAGTTAAATGGCGGGAGCTTGTTCTAGGAAGCCATACCAATGGGTCCGTGGCAACGTCCGAAACAGAAAAGTTTCTGGTAGATATTATAATAGCAAGAGCTCTAAATGGCCTGAACCCTCATTATCTAAAAGACTACAATATGCTGATCCAGGGCAAAAAAACTGTCCATCACTTATGGATTCATGTATCTATAAAATTCGGGAGGTATGTTCCTCTCTGGTTGCTTTTTTATTCAGATGAATATTTAAGCTGTCTTGAATCATGTTATGATAATTTTTTTTGTATTTGTTTCAACTGAAGGACATAGACACATATTGTACCTTCTACATGTTGCCAAGGGATTTAGCTCAACTGATTTGTGATGATTTGGTTTGTTCCCACCAACTAGACGATGCGATACTTAAGGCTTTTCAATATTGTGCTCTTGAGGTACCTCTTGGCTCTCACTCACCGAAAGAAGAAGCTGAACATGAATTGCTTTTGACACCTAATGGGCGAATTGATAGTATTTTCATGAGATATCTTTTTTTGTTTCTTGCAGGATGTCAATTTGGAGGGATGCCCAGGAGTGAACGAATGATGGATGAATGTAATTCAATCACAGGGTTCATCCTTACTATCTGCAGATCTCTCGGGTTCTGCCGTAACTGATTTTGGGTTAATTTATCTTTTGAGGTGTAAAAATCTTCAAGCCTTGAATCTTAATTACTGTGAGCGGATTTCAGATGAAGGTCTAGCGTTTCTTAGTGGTAAGAATTTCTACAGCGGCTTGAAGACTGTTTATTTGGTTATAGATATTCTGCAATAGGAATGTATTATAACCATTTCCGAGCATCTTATTTGGCTGCAATATTTTCACTTTCATATCATATCAAGTTACAAGTTAGTCAATGAATTTTCATCATCAAAGTGATATCTTTCTAATTTACGTTTGGGAAGTATCAAATGCAATATATAAGTTGTCACCTCATTGTCAATTTGTCTTTCCATCTTCACACACTCTGATCCAAATGTAGATTCAAATGTAGAATCCTGCTGTAAATTGTAAGTTCCTAAAGAGAAATATAATACTTGTTGGTTAAATGCATATGTAAGTGATTAATGCACCTGCCGTAGGAAGGGTGATACTATATCATGCCGTTGGTTTGTATCCAGCAGTTTCAGGTTTTCTTATTCAACTTCTTTCGAATTAGCAAATCTAAAGACTTCTCAAGAAAGTGGGAGATGGTCATAGGGTTATTTCATAGTGCAGAATTGACAATGCATTTGATTTATTTATAATATATTTTGATGTGCAATTGCTTTATGATGTTGTAGGTCTAACAAACCTGAGTACTTTAAGTATTATACGGAGCAACATCATCACTGGCAAAGGAATCAGGTCCTTATATGGCTTGGTCAACTTGAACTTGGAGAGATGCCGATACATATGTGGACACATGTCTTACCTGAAAGGTTTGTATTCCATGAACCCTGATTATATATTTGTAATGTGAAAATCATCCATCGAATTTGTGAGCATTATGACACAATGGCATATGCTTTGTGTGTATACCGCTTTGTTGGAAAAAAAAAAAAAACTTTCTTTTTATCCTGTTCTTATCTGTTTTCAGGCCTTACAAAGCTTGAATCCCTCAATCTCAATTGTTGCAATTACATTACTGATGATGATATGGAGGCTATATCAGGTAACTTATGCACATAGTCCTATTTATTCATTTTCAGAATTTAGGCTAGATACATACTTTGATATCATTTTCAATAATGGCCACCTTGTGTATTGAAATCTATATTTTCTAGTGAATCTATACTTTTTTCTTCTTTGATCCCAAAAAAGGTATCTTCTCTGCAGGGTTAACAAGCCCGAATTCTTTACAAATTGAATCCAACGAGGTTACTGATCATGGAGTCGCCTTTCTTAAAAGTTAGTTAACTTCTTTCTCTCTGTGTTTCCAAGTGACAGAAGATACAAATCACTTAATGTGCAGGAGTTGTTTTACTGTTATTTGGTCTATTTGTACATTTTAAATGGTGCAAAAGTATTTCTGACAAGTCCTCTATATTCAGTGATAGATAGTAAGGATTCTTCATTCTTTCATTATATTTTTTCTATAGCTAAATGTGATTATTCATATCAAGTGTTTCCCACGATATATATATTCTTCCATGCATACCACAGATTTTTGTGTGATGAAATCAATTTATGGGACAGAAAAAGAATATCCTCTTAAGCTACTGACCCTGGCGTTTATTGTTTTCATTTAAAGTATATGATTTCTGTATATCTCTTCTGTAGGTTTAAAGAGGCTTTCACTTTTGAATATGTCGGCTTGCCCTGTCACTGCTGCATGCCTGGAGTCTCTTGCAGGTTTGTTTTGTGTTTCCCATGTGGTTATCTGACCTGATTTATCACATTCATTCATGGAATAAGTTGCTTCGTAAATTTTTTACAGTTCTAATTTTCAAGAACTCTACAATTATCCCTAATCTCTTTCAGCCTCTTATTTTAATTGACATCTTTTGCATCTATTGCAGAGCTTGATGGCTTATTAAATTTGAATCTGAGCAGATGTGAATTGACAGGTGACGGCTGTGAGAACTTCGCGAGTAAGATAATCTGAACATTGGTTTAATGTACAATCACTTCTTTGTAGTATAATGTGTATCATGGCTTGAAGTTGAAGTTAATATTCTCTTTTTCTCTCATGCAGAGTTGCTATCTTTGAAGGTTTTAAATTTGGGGTTCGCTAACATCTCGAATACTTGTTTGATGCACATTAAAGGTTGTTTTCATCTTCTATGCAAAATGAAGAAGCCTCTTTGTCATATTCCGGAATTATATCATATGATAAATTCTTATATAACATTGGTGTTTAGATAATATTTATGCTCATATGAAGAGATTTCCTTTTTCTATTTTTTTTTTTCACATTTGAAGATAGTTGCGACATTATATATATATTTTCCGTGCAACAGGTCTAACAAAATTGGAGAGCTTAAACTTGGATTCTTGCTCAATTAACGACAGTGGGATGGTTCACCTTTCAGGTTATTTAGTGCATATACCTGTTCGGATTTTCGGATACCTCATCGAGCTAGAAAATTCCCCCTCCTTTATCTGCTCCAACATTCTGAGCTTTGTTGTTGTCGATTATCCACTTCTCCTTATGGCTTGCTTCTGTTTCTTATGGTATGCAATTCTTAGGCCTATCCAATCTGAAATGCCTGGTGCTGTCCGATACAAAAGTTGGAAACAATGGCTTAAGTCATCTTTCCGGTTAGTCTTCGATTAATCTATAAGCACATGAATAGATGAATAACTTCTGTGATGCTACATACCCGAATATTTATTATTGTTGTAGTTTTGATTTACTTATTCGACATATGTTTTTTGCAGGTTTATGTAAGCTGGAAAGTTTAAATCTTTCATTCACTTACGTTACTATCGGTGGTTTGACAAAACTGTCTTGCTTATCTTCTCTTAAGTCTCTCAATTTTCCTGCTCGCCGGATAATTGATGCTGATCTTGCTGCACTACCTTGTAAGATTTCTAATATTTACACCTTTTTCTTTCGACATTATCTCCTTCCCGGTTTCAGCATCGACACCTAGACCTATATGCAAGTATTTGGCAATTTCTATTAAAGTTATATTGTTGATATGCCTTAAATCTAGTTTGCTACTTTGCTGAGTTAAGGGGGTTAAGGGGGTCGAAGTCCCCCTAGCCTGGGGTCCGGGGGCGCGGAGTGGCTCTGGCCCAAGCAGTATTGGGCCTTTGAGTTGGTATTGGGTTGAGCCCGTCTGATGTATTCTCTTAAGTTTATTTAACTAGATTTAGAGATATGAAATCTGTAACGCAGCCGTTCTCATTACATTTGTTCTTCGTTTCTACCCGTGGATGTAGCCAACATTGTTGATGAACCACATAAATCTATGTCTTTTTTACGTTTTTATTTGTTATTCGATCATTAATTCTAATCCGTCACAACATATACACATATCTGTTATGAGAATTTAAGCTATACATCATTCTATGGGTAGTTTAGGGGCTTAGTTTAAGGCTATTTTGAAGCTTGTTTCGAGCTTTAAAAGGTTATTAGAAATACTGAGGACTCTTTTCAATATTCATATTATTTTCGGTCCGCGGAAGTTTGGATCTTTGCCACGTGATGTTTATACACTTCATTGTTTTCTACTTTCGTCTTCTCAAGTGATTCATTTAGCTGTTTTTCCTAGTATTGAAAATGTTCACGTATCTTTTCTAGTCGAATCTTTAGGCATGTCACACTTTTATGCTACTGTAGTTTTCGAAATATATGTAATCCTCTTGCAGATTTCACTGGGCTGATGCATCTGGATCTCTTTGGAGCTCGAATCTCCGACATTGGAACCTACTATTTGAAACGTATGCTCAAAACTATTTCATTTCAGTGATGTTGTCGAGAGTTTGTTTTCGTTTCTTTTCTTTTGTTAAATCGATATCCTGCATTTTTCAGCTTTAAAAAACCTGCGCTCGCTGGATAACTGCAGTGGCTTATTGTCCGATAACGGTGTAAAGAACATTAAAGAACTTACATCCTTGAGGATGCTGAATCTGTCTACGAATCTCCTATTGACTGACAAGAGCTTGGAATTGATCTCAGGTACAAATTGCCATTTTATCTAAGAGCTTTGGAATGCGTCGATTAAAAGATTATCGACTAATTTTGTCTTGTCACTCCTTATAAATGCAGGACTCACACAGCTGGTGTCTCTGAACATGTCGTATTCCGGTCTCGAACATCGTAAGTCCCTAAAGAACCTCAGGTCACTGAATTTGGATTCCTGCAAGGTGACTGCCCATCACATAAAGATACTTCAATCAAAAACTCTCCCAAATACGGATCCGAATTCAACACCCGGGTCCAATAAGGTAACATTTCTACCGCATTTTCGCCTGTCTTATCTTAAATCTCGAACATTTCTCTTGAACACGATGTTCGAATAACTCGGGCTGCTACGCTGTAAGAAGGTAATCTAATACCTCCTCGGCCGTGGCTCGAGTTTCTTTCATTTCTTCATTTAGAACAGCCTGATGCGTCCGTAGCTCTTGCTCCGGTCGGGCTCTGTGTGTATATACACGTCGTTTGTTATCTATGAAATAAGATCGACTTTCGGAACCATATGTACATTATGATAAGATACAATGTGGTAAGTAAGATCGTAGAGTACCGTCACAAAATGCCATCGGAAGAACACCGTAGGTAGATATCCAGACTAGTTTCGAAAGCGAAAGCCAATTGGCGTACGGTCTAGAGATCGAGTACGAAAGAATTCCATTAGGTTAAATTGACATTACAGTAGTTTCTAGAGATGATCTTAGCTATAATCAGTCGATCGATCATCGTTGCGCCTGATCTGTGGCAGAACTTCCGACTAGCGGAGTCGTTGGTACGCTGCTTACCGTCCCGTTTTCGACGGGCGGTGGCGCGCCCCATTTGCCCTCGGATTCGAGAGGCTCGAAGATATGAACCAACCCGTCGGATAGACCTACCGCGAACTGGTTCGGTTCTTGTGGGTGCGCCGCGATCACCAGCGGATGCACATTCGCATTGCTATGGAAAAAATTTATAGAAGATTTAGAAACGTTTACGGGTGTCGATAACGTCGGAAATGAGGTCGAATCGGAGAACTTGCCTGACACTCGAAAGGAGATAAGCCGAGGGATTGATACGGCAACGGAGACGTAGCTGCGAGGCGGTGAACACGCACACCGTCCCGTCGAGGAAACTTGCGTATACCATCTGGCTATCGCAGGAGAACGTCGCGTGCGATATCGGGGCTGAAGACTCGCGCGGTCCCCACTGAAATATCGAAAAAATAAGCAGTGTAAGAAGTTAATACGATCATTGTCGAAGTCGATTGTTCGATCGATAGTTCATTCGTTCTACCTGCTTTACGCATTCTAACTTCGTGGTTTCGAAAATCGCAAGCTGCGTCTCGTGCACGACCAGAAAATGCATCTGGTCTTGATGAAACTGCACGCGCGTGTCGGACTGAGCTGCCGGAGATTTCCCGGAAGGAATCTGCAAAAACCTCGACCGCTGCTTTTCCCAGCCGTCCGAGTTCCAAACACAGAGCTGCAGAGGAAAGAGCAATCGATCAATCGAACGTATGGTTTAAGCATTGTAATGAGAAAAAGTCGACGAACCTGAGCGTCGCCGCCGGACGAGATGAGCACGTTGAGGACGTTCGAGAATGCAAGGCCCGTGATTCTTTTGGTGTGGCCTTTGAGCTTGCTTTTGACCTGTTAAGGAAATGAAATGATATCGATACAAAGCCGGGATTATCGAAGAAATGTGTTTTGCAAGAGCGTACCTCGTCTACTCGAACGTTGTAAATTTGGATCGACGAATCGTCCATGCCGATCGCAATTATGTTGTTGTCTTGAGGATGGAATGCTAGGAACGTCGCTGCCGGCGGCGGGGGCATGAATGTCGTCATCGTCTGCGCGTCGATTCAGATTCATGAGAGACGGAATACATAAATTGAATTCCCGGCGCGGCACGGGAGGATTCGAGGTTACCTTAAATGTCATCATGTTGAACAAAGAGATCTTTCCTCCCGACGCGGACATAACATAAGAGTCGTTCTTCGACAGAGCGAAGCAAGGGACGGCCTCCTCAGGGTTCGTGTCCATCACGTCGTTCTTCATAAGAATGCCGCTCGACGGTTGCCATAGTTGAGGCGAAACGCTAGCCGTCGCCTGAAAATTCGAAAAACAAAAATCCACTTTTCAAGTCACCTTCGCCGGCGAAGCGAACAAGATAATCGATCTTATCCTACTCTTACCTTTCCACTCGAATTCCGCTCGTTTCGCTGCCATTTCCATAGCAAATGGATAGCATTCGAAGCCAACGCTAGTATCGCATTGCCCGAATTCGTGTAAATCAATCTCGATATCTGCTCGATTGAAACCCAACAAAAGTTACAAAACTGACGAACAAATGAGTTGAATGTCGAATGTCGAAGTTACGATACCTTCGTGACTCTTAAATTCTCCGGTAGCTTCAAGGATCGACACTGAGACGGTTCGTTAATTTCGCTGAGCTTCCAAATCTTCGATTTGTCGTTAGATTCTTCCGTTATCCGAGGCTTTATATCAACAAGATTCCTCGAATCCCCATTCTACAACAAAAAAGAGTTCAGAAGTAAAATAACAGCCGAGCGTATGGTTCAAGTAGAATCGAAACGTGCAAAATACTAACCATGGAAGAGATACCCGCGACAGAAACTGTCCTGTCGGGTAATCCCGCACTACTTGCCACGGATATCGGATTTATTGTCGGCTGGAATTGACGAACACGAAGAACACTTCAGCCCAATTGAGTACAGATTTTACATTAAAAATATTATAGCCATACCTTTGCAGCTTCGACCGCTCTTGAAGCATCGAAAGGGAGATTCTCAACCGTACGAAGCAACCGAAGACCGTCGGCGTTTGCTAATATTTTGATCCCGTTATCGTTGGTCGAGACGGCCAAAAGGGTCCCGTCTTTGTTGAAACGGATACGCGGGCTCGCCTTAGAGTTTTTTCGAAAGAAATCAGCATATCGTTTTGGTAATAAAATGTCGACGAGAGAGATTTAGGTTGCGAGAGATACTCACGGGAAGACCTCCGTCGGCGTCAGTGCTTGTCAGAAGCTGAATGTTGTCCATATCCCAGAATTTGATCGAAAACTCGTCGCCTGCGGCCAAGAACCGGTTTCTAGAAGTGTCGAACTGTACGACCCCTAACGATCGTTTCCGGAAGCCTTGGTACGTTCTCTTCACAGCCCCTTCGCTCTCGTTCCACTCGACGATGTGCGATTCCCCGTCTTTGCTAGTTCCGCAAGAGAAAAGCCTGAGCGAAAATGTCGAAAGATTAAACCGTTTCATATCGGAAGAAACAAAACGTCGACATTTCGCACCGAATATCATCGTAGTCGTACCTCGTGCCGTCGGCGCTGTAGGCCATGGTCGTGCACCACCGCCCCGGGGCATCGTAGTCAACTCGGGATCCGATATTATCGTACAGCCAAGCCTTGATCTTTCCATCCAATGCCGTAGAAAAGATGAACTGGAAAACAACAAGACGACGTCGTATCGTAATTGAATCGAGATTCGAATTTCCTCGTCTTGAGCAGTGTATATATACTTCACCTGAATGTTCTCTTTGTGGTGAGGACACACTGAATATACAGGCGCCTCGTGGCCTTCGAAAGTGTACTGCTTGGCGCCCGTCGACGCATCCCAAACCTACGGATTACGAAAAAATAACTTAACAAAATGTATTGTCAAGCACGTTACTTTCCCAAACGTCTTAAATTACCTTGATAAGCTTATCATCCCCGCACGTTATTATCGACAACTGCTTGTTCGGGTGTGAGAACGCGATATCGTTAACCCCGCCGACATGCGCGTCGATCTAAAACAAACGGCAGCGGGAGTAGAAGAATTCAGGAAAAGGAGATTCTACGTAAAATCGTGAAGGTAGGAAAAAGATTAAATTTTTACCTCTAAATGCTGTCGAACTTCGTCTTTTCCGTGATACGAAAATATCTGCACGAGATGCCTCGAGTATGCAACACCTATTCGACGAAAAAGCGTTAGCTATTACAATATCAGAAATCGACGGGTTTCGATTTTCAGCTTACCGAATAAAGAACCGTCCGAGCTCCAAACTACGCGGTTTACCGAGACGCCGGGATCTTTAACAAGAGCAGCCTGCGCGTTTATTATCGATCGAGATTCTCGTAAATTTTACCGCTGGATTTTCGATTAAAAACGGATGAGTAATTAAAGATTCGGCACCTGTAGAGGCATCGAACAAGCGTTAAGCTCCCAAACTTTGAAATTCCTCTGTACGAGTCTCTCCCGCGAACCGATTTCCCACAATCCGATATCTCCAACGTTCGTCCCGACTGTTCGAATCGATACAAAGACGAGCAAACGAATAATTTCATAGCCGCGAAGATGTAAATACAAAGAAATCCGTACGATAGTGAAAATCGAACCTAGAAGAAGGGTCTGCGAGTTGGGATGAAAATCCATGCTCATAGGCGACGTTCCTTGATTCAAAGTCCGCGCAACCGTCTTCGGAAGTTCTTCCATTGCATTGAAAGCCTGACTTTGCGCATACCCGGGAAATGACACGGGAAGAACGTTCACCGGAAGACTTACCTAAACGATAAAAACCGAATGTATGATGAGATCGAAGTTTAATATTTACTGCAAGATTTTACCGAAATCGTAACTACCACCTCGTCCGAAATTCCCAACGGCCTCGTTCTTTTGCTACCGTGCTCGGAATCTCCCGATGGAAAATCAACCGAAGGGTTCATCGGTGGCGTCCTCGGATGCTTTAGGGCAGCTGCGCCAAAAAAAGACACTCATCAACTATAACAAGAAATATTTCCTTCGTCGGCCAAATTTATTATCATTTTTCTTTTTAGTCCGTCCGGTAAATTTATCTCATTACTAATTTTGGCAAAGTTAACAAATCAACATTTAATTATTACCTTCCATTCAACCGTTGTTTACAACAAATACCACTAACTTTATTACCTTCTCTCTTCATTTACTTTAATTTCAGCTGAATTTCCAAAAATACACTCAATTACTTATTACTTTTTCGATAAAAAATTCATTTTCCTTAATCTCTGTACCGAACCCAAATTGGCTAATTTTAATGGACGGAATGAGTAATTAGCAAAATCAGTTGACGTTGTTGTACCTGGGATCGGTGGAGCACCAAGACCGATCGGTCCGCCGGAGACGACGGGATGAGTCCCGGCGGGTGGATTAGACATCCATCCGGCAAGTGGCGTCGGAACGGGAGCTGGAGCTGGCTGGAACGGCTGGCATCAACGACGGGACAAAACGTGTTAGAAAATTACGACGAGTCGAGAAATGTAAATAGTAGTAGAAACTAACCACGTGGGCGCCCAATGGAGGGAATCCACCGGGCTTCGGTACAGCTCCTCCGAGCAGGGGATTTCCTGCGGGCGACGGCGCACGAGCGCCGTTCGACTGCCCACAAGAATGATCGACGAACAGAGTTTTGATGTCGGGATTTGGCCTAGGATTTTTACAAAGTTGGTGCTGCCAGTTTAGGCTGGCAGATGATCATAACCGTTAGTTTTCGATAACCCAAAAATAAGAACTTGTTTGTCGCGTAATAATTATTTGTCCGTCGAACGCACCTTTGGTTGATGAGTGTTCGGAGTCTCGAATTCTTGAGATTCGGGAACTGAAGTTTATCTCGAAACAAAGGATTCGCCTCGATAAGCTTCTTCAACTCGACTAGCATGATAGTTCGCGCGGATTTCGTATCTCCGTACTTCGATAATTGTTCGTTTTCCCTAACCAAAAACATAATCGACGCTTGCTTAAAAGGTCACCCCAAACCATCGGATCAAACACTTATTTCTCATTATTATTCAGCAAAAAAATTCAAATCAATTTTGCATTCAAAATATCATATCATACACTAATTTCAAACCCAAATGCCAACCTTATCGATAAATGCCGGTTCGTACTTGAAATTCTCTAATATCATCAACAATTTTACATTTAAAACATCACATCATACATCAATTTCAAACCTTAAAGAAACATATCGTTTTGTTTGTATTAAAACCGATTAAAACATCAAAAAATGCCAAACTAAGATTTAAACCTTAAAGAAACATGCCCTTTAATTTCTATTAAAACCGATGATCGAAACATCCAAAAAATCAAATTTTACATTCAAAATTGAATTTAAACCGTAAAGAAACATGCCCTTTAAAATTTCTATTAAAACGACAATCGTAACATCGACAAATGCCAATACCTAAAATTCTCTAATACAAGCAGCTAATTTTACATTCAAAATATCACATTATACTCCAATTACAAATTCAAATTAATTTCTATTAAAACGAATGATCGAAGCAACGAAAAACGGGTCGGTACCTGAAATTCTCTAACGTCAGCAACTGTGTGATCTCTTTAAAAAGCTCCTCATTAAAAGATGCAAACACTTTAAGATCTTTCACAAGAATTTCGACGGCTTTCGATCGATCATGCCTATAATTCGCCGGCGCAATTAAAGGATCGTAAATTCGATGCAAAAAGACGAAACTTCGAATGAAATTAAATCGAATTTAAGGGGCAGGGCATACTTATCCAAGGCTTCGAGATACTTTTGCTTCCTAATCTCGAAGAAAATCTTCATCGAATACCGGTTATCGTCGACTTTCGTGAACCCGGAAAGGTATTTTTCGACCTCGTCCCAATTACCATTTATCACTTCATCCTCAAAATACTTCATGTTAAAAAAGAACCCTGATTCTTGCTCAAGCCTATTTTAATGGCCACCAAGAACATAGACAGAAACACCACATTTATTACAAACACAAGATTAAGACATACATAATCCAAATTACTATATCTTTCCTTACAACATTCAACAAGAACAAAAATAAATAAATAAATAAATAAACCTACTTGTGAACTGTCTCTTTGAACTTTTCTTCATCCAGAAATTGTAAGATGAGAAACACCAACTCCCTACTGAGGGACGACATTTTTCGACAGATCTGAGAAAATAAAAATAAATAAATAAAAATAAAAACATCTTTAAGAACTTCGAACTGTAGCTATGGCTTTCATTTAATTTGCCAAATTTGAGGCTCCATTTTTAAAATTGCTCTATGAATTGGTGAATGAATATGTGCAGGAGATGAAAAAATATAAATGAAATTTTTCAAAAAAAATAAAAATAAATTAAAAAAATAAAAAAACCTGCAGAAACCCTAGATCATTTAGGGGATCTTCAAATTAGGGCATCACCGACAAGCAAGGGCTGTTCTAAAATCGAAATTTTAATTTTTAAGGGATCAGAGAAATGAAAGCAGCTTTGAAAGGAATCCGAGATGCAAAAACAAAAGGCAAAGTCAAGATTATGCTATATATCTTCTTTACTCTCTCTCTCTCTCTCTAAATATATCACTTTCTCACTCTATATATTATATTTGTATGTATCTCTATCTATCTCAGTAAGGAAAAGCAGAAAGAAAACCCAAAAGGAAAGCATCTATGGCGCAACGGAAAAGAAAAAATGAAATTAAAAATTAAGATTTAAATTTAAAAAAACAAAAATCATATATATACATACAAAGTTATATATATATGTGTAGAGAGAGAAAAGAGGAGGAGAAGGTTTACTTGAGAGAGATCGATGGATGAAGAGAGACGACGAGCTCGAGGACAAAAATGGTGTTTGATTTTCTCTCTCTAAACCTGTATGAATATAAATATATCTTCGATCTTAGCATCTATATATATAGGTGTGAGAGAACTGAGTCTGTATGTATATGTGTATCTATACATACGGACACACACATGGTTTCTCTCACTAGCTTTCTCTCTCTAGTCTATCGTGAGGTAGGGTTCGAAAAAAAATATTAAAAAATTAAAATTAAATTAAAATTAGGACATGACTTGCAGAAAATTTAAAATCATTTAAATAGGGAGGGGGAGAGGAGCTATTGAAGAAGATAAGTAGGGTCACTTATGAGTTCTTTGATAAGTTATTTATCATATTGCTCTGATAAGTTAAATGACTTATCATTAAGTAAGGTGATAGGTACAGTGGAGTGGGGCCCACGAAGCCGGCGACGTTTTTGTCCGTGAACGATCGGCTCGGAATCTCCAGCCGACAGCTGGTCACGGCTCCTTAGGGTTGTGTTTGGTTGTGTTTGTCCCGCTGAAATTATAGTTGTGTTCGGGTTTTACTTCGAATTTTTATTGTTTGAATTTTTTTTTCTTTTAAATTTATCAAATTAAACAATTATTTTTTTGTAAATACTATACTATTTATTCTGTCCCATTTAATTTATCACATTTTTTATTTATGTTTATCCCACATAATTTATTCTTTTATTTTTTAAAAAATATAATTATATTTAAAAATTCTTAATTTATAGCTTTTTATTTTAATTAAACTATTTAATTATTTTAATTTTCATCTTAATTTATAATTATTTTTTATTAGATTATAATTATTTCTACTAATATATTTTTTAATTACTTACTAATTACACAATACATAAAACTTTATATCTAAGCAAAACTGAACAATTTAAGTGCGACGGAGGTAGTAGGAAAAAAATACTTTAGGTGCACAAATGAAGTCTTAAGTTTTGTTTCTTTTCACATAATTTTTCAATATATTTTTTCAAAAAAATAATATATATTACACGCATTTATTATTTTTATTTATCCACACAATTTGTTATAATTTAAACAAAAAACAAGTTAGTTTTTAAATCTATTTATTTTTATAAATAAAAAATATTCTTATCTATATTTAAAATTCTTTAGTTTTTATAAAATTAGTCTATATTATTATTTATTAATATTATATAAAATATTATTTTTTACAAAATAATATTGATATTATATACTTCATCCGTCTCAAAACTATAGTTTAGGTTGTATTTGGCATGAGATTTAAAGAATATTGATATTATATTAGTAGTGAGTAAAAAATACGGGTAAAAGAATTTTTGCCTTTGTGAGTGTATTAATATAAAAAGTAGTGGCAATTGTGTAATAATAATGAAAAAGTAACGATAGTTGTATAGTGATATGATTATTTATGGAAAGGAAATTATTGTTTTGGAACGCACAAAAATGGTAAACAGGACTATTGTATTAAGACGGAAGGAGTACATGATATTGAGATACAATTTTTAAAATATTTAAATATATATTTTACATTTATTTTAATTATATATTAATTTTTATTTTAAATTTTTTAATAATACTATATATATTAAAAATATTATAAATTCACTATTATTAATTAATTAAATTTTATTATTTTAAATATCGTATTATAAATCAACATAATCATTTGTTTCAAATAAAAAATATATATTTGAATACATTTATTAATTTTTTCTAAATTTAAAATATTATTTTTTCTTTTATTTAAATTTATAGTTATTTATTTTAGTGAATTTTTTTTTTTAATATAAAAGATAAATTTTATACTCCCTCCGTCCACACATAAAGTATACAATTACTTTTGATACGGTATTTAAGAAATAATAATATTTTAATTATAGTGAGTAGTTAAAAGTAGTGTAATGATATTTTTGCCCTTGTTTTTTAGTGTATAAGTAATGATGTGATGTAAAGTATGAATATTTGTGGAAAAAAGTAAGGTATTTAATAAAATATTTACTTTGTAATTGGACGTTCTAAAATAAAAATATGTATATTTTCTAACTTGATGGAGGGAATATTTTTATTCATTTTTCATAAAATATGTGATGGATCTAATGAAACTAAATATCTATAGACTAATCAAACCTTATAGATCAAGCAGTGAGATATCTTTCCTTTAAGAATTGGGTCTCAGATTCGATCTAAGTGGATACGTATGTGCATGTGTTGAATGAAATTCGCGTCGGAACGTGAATATTTGCGTGTGTGGGGTAAAAAAGGACTAAATAAAACATTTGTTGAACTCAAAATTTCCATTCCAGGCCACTCGACCAAACACACCGCTACATTTTTCACGTATATCATTTTTTAAATTTTTAATATTATTAAAGTGGAGCATTTTCAGCCGTCCGATTAAATTAGGGTTGGGCGTACGGGCCCAGTTGTTAGATTTCAACGGTTCCGATCGCACGGCTTGATTGCTGGTTGACACGATTTTCGACGTATGAAATAAGATGGAACATTATTTTAAACCGACAAGCCGATTTTTTTCTGGGACTTTGCGACTTTGGTATTTGGACAGACTTTTCGCGATAATAACGAGAATGCCACTGTCTCGATATCGGGATTTATCGCGAGATATTGGTGTGAGATAAATAAGGCAGACAGGGAATTATTGGACTTTAGTGAAAATTGAAAGGCTGTTATTAAATGGAATATATATTTTTAATTATTTAAAAAATAGTCGCTGTCGGAGGGGGGAAGTAAGCTTTGGAAGGTCCCTGGAGCTTAGATCCTAAAGAAGATCTGACCGTAGATTTGTAGGGCTACACAATCGACGGTCGGATTGTTCCGGATACTGGACCAGGTAGCATAACCTGTAGACTGACGTGTCACGTGGGTATCTAACGGTTGATAAAGCAGGATGTGACACGTGTCGGTTGTAGGTTTCATCGCGGGAGCAGTGTAAATGAAGAGTTTGTCGATCTGATTAGTTAACATTAGATATATTTGTTTACTATTTTGATTTCATTTTTATTTTTATTTTTTATATGTATAGAGTTGTATTTAAAATATAAATATATAATACTTTCTCCATTCGTTGAAATATTATAATTTTTTTAATTTTATCCGTATTTAAACAAAGTTGTTATTTTCTAATTTAGTAATTGTATTACCTACTTAAATTAATAAATATTCTTTCAACTTATACTATATTACACAATACTAATATGAGTATTTTTGTCTTTTTTTTTTATATATATAATCCATTATAATACTAATATTCAAAAATCTACGTGCAAAAAGTAAACAATAACTTTACACCGGGACGGAGGTAGTACTATTTTTGTCAATTTTGAAAGTTTACATTTATTTTTATGTATTGATCTTTAAATATTAATTATTATATCAAAATATAATACAAATAAAATAAAATCATAAAATTATTTTCATTAATGTCTTGTAATACAAATAAAATAAAATGACAAAAATACTTTTATTAGTGTCTTATAATACAAATATAATACTCACTCCGTCCAGCTACAAAGTATACATATTTCTATTTTGGGACGTCCAGTTACAAAGTATGAATTTCATTAAATACCCACTTTTATCCACAAATACCCTTAATTTACATCACATTATCACTTTTATACCAAAAAGTAAGGGCAAAAATGTCATTATACTACTTTTACCTACTTATTATAATTAAAATATTATTATTTCTTAAACTCCACGCCAAAAGTAAATATATACTTATTGTGTGGACGGAGGGAGTAACATTTATATAAAAAAATTATACAAATAAAATAAAATTTTTAATGTTAACTACAATAACGCAAAATGTAAATGTAAACTTATTAGGTCGACGAAATAAATATTATTTTATATTGAATATTTTTTAGTTTAAGATAATTTTTTGGTATAAGATATAAAAATTATATCTATAATATAAAAAAAAAAAATCTCTCTGTCTCGGCTATGATGTCCATTTTATGTAGATACGATAATTTAAAAATAATATAATTAGTAAATAATTAAAATTTTATTAATAAAAATAATTATCTTATAATAAAAATAATTATATATTAAGATTAAGATAACTAATTAGTTTAATTAAAATTCAAAAATTATAAATTAAAAAATTTAAAATGAGTATTGTTAATGCATGAAATTTAAAATTAGGTTAAAAAGCCCGAGGAAGAAAGAAAAATGGGTGTAACAATTGAGGTGATCAAACTGGTTGAAGGGTACCGTGGGAAACTCAAGTGGAAGTAGATGTATTTCTAAGGAAATAGCGGGTCGGAAGGTCCGCAGGTCGGAAGGTCCTCAGGTCGGGAGGTCCGCAGGTCGGAAGGTCCTCAGGTCGGGAGGTTCGCAGGTCGGAAAGTCCTCAGAACGGGAGGTCCGCAAGTCGGAAGGTCCGCAGGTCGTAAAGTCCACAGGTCGGAAGGTCCGCAGGTCGGAAAGTCCGCAGGTCGTAAAGTCCGCAGGTCGTCCGTAGTTTGGAAAGTCCGCGGGTCGGTTGGTCTGTAAGTCGGGAGGTTTGCGGTTGGACCAACAAGTCGGATAGTCTGAAAGTCGGGAGGTTTGTGGCTGGACCAATAAGTCGGATGGTCTGTAAGTCGGGAGGTTTGTGGCTGGACCAATAAGTCGGATGGTCTGTAAGTTGGGAGGTTTGCGGCTGGACCAACAAGTCAGATGGTCTGCAAATGAGGTTTGCAGTCGGACCAATAAGGCGAAAGATTTGCAGTCGGACCAAGTTGCGTTTGGGCCAAAAGGGCGGAAGGTATGCGATCGGTCCAAAGAGTTGGATACTGTTGAGAGTAAGTGATAATGATACTTTCGTCGTGTCAACAGGAGAAGGGTTAGCAGACGGTTGAAAAAAACATACGTTGTGACCGTTCGGGCGACAATTTCCAGTACCGTTTCCCAAAGAATATTTAAGGATTTGGATTTTTCTGGAGAAGGTATCTTCAATCAACTTCAACAAAGCAAAGTCAGATTCGCGTATCACCACTTTAAATTTTCTGCATTTTTATTTCCAGTCAATTTTCTTATGTACCATACAGTATTTAGAAATTCCTAATCTCAGACACTAATTAATCAAATTTAAGGATAT